TGTTTTCGTTCGTTTTCGCTCGTTTTTTCTCGTTTTTTCCCCATTCCATTTCCCCATTTTTCCCACCACGTGAAATCCACGTGTCATTTTGAATTAGCTAATTTCGGCTGGCCTACGAGTTAGTTGGGGCGAGCTTTCTGACCCCCTCGCCTGAACCCACGTGCGTTCGTAAAAACTGGCTGGAAAACGAAACGTTTTTAAAGAGATTGAAACGAAAAACAATAAAAGAAGAGCGTGACTACAATTGGTATTAATTTCTAGGTGAAAAGTTATGTCTCCGACAAATAGGGTCTATTTAGGTGTGCGAAGTACTTTTCCCGTTACACAGACAAATCTGGACCATGAATGGAATTGAAATCAACAAGGGATCATTTGTCGATATTGACAACGTGACGTAATGTAGAAACCTTCGCTGAATTTTGATCCTTCCAATACTTTTCCTGATGTGAAAAAAAAATGTGAAAAAACACCATTTTTTCGAGGTTTTTCCAATCTATTCAAAAAACTAAGAGCTTTTTCAAAAAAAAAATAAAACGGAGCGTTTGTAGTAAAAATATCATTGAACATTTAGGTTTTTAAATCAAAAAATTTAGTAAAGTGCGAACCAAGTTATCATCATTTTAAAAGGTCCGGTTTTTTACTACTGGAGTACTGTAGCTTCGCAAACAACGAAGACAGGCGTTTATTCTGAACGGTTTGTGAATCAGAATCGTACCCCTTGTTATCACAATATTTAAATCTGTGAAAAAAATAGTTTTGAGAATGTTTGAAAAATCGTCTTTTGAGTTGTGATGTGTTTGCCGAGCAAAGAAGGTATACACCCTCTAAAAATACGAAATACTTTGGATCATTTTCAGGAGAGCTGTGACTCATGAGCGGAGCCATACATTTCTCTAACTTTGAGCCTATATATCTCATTTGCTGTAGGAGATATCAGGAAGTGGTCCACTAACAAAATGTTAATAATAACATCTCCAAAATTTTATCACTGGGCGACTTTTTGATATCTCTCACAGGAGCCAAGATAATTGAGCTCAAAGTGAGACTATTTGAGCTCCTAACTTTCAACTGATTTATCTCGATTGCTGTGAAAGGTATCAAAAAGTGTTTTACTGTAAAAACACGAATAACATTATAATAAACATTCTGTTAATTGACAACTTTTTGATGTCTTTCGCAGGAATAACCTAATTTATTGGACTTTTCTCACAACTTCAACTGTTTAACAATCTTTCGTAGAAAATGAGATGATTGAGACCCAAGTTGAGTGTCAGTCTTAAGAAGGGGTGCTATTATATTTTACATTAATCAGCTCATAACTTTTAGTTGCACTGTTCCAATCAACTTATTCGATCCTGTTAATAGTTGAACGTAATGAATTATTTATCAACCAACGTTCACTTTCTGCATCTACTACTGATTCCTCGTATATTTCAAGTGACCTGAAAGTTTATTCTTTCTCGTTTCTGAGCTTCTTTCTTCGACAGTCTCAAAGAGAATACTGAAGCAACAGAAAGTTTAAGGTCAACATTTTTTATTGAAATACTTAATGAAAGAGATACGGGGAAAAAAAAGGAAGTAACAAAAAAGGTAGAGAGATGTACAATGGACAAAACAAAACGCACTCCTGGAAGTATAACTCCTGCCTTCATTTTTGTGTCGGTTTACTCGTTTTCTCTGATCTCTTCTCGTTTTCTCTGATCTCTACTGAAAAATGAAAGCAGGAGCTTCAGTTCCAGATAGATGCGTACTATGGTAAATTGGTGAATAAACGAAGCTATGAACGAAGGGATGATTGAATTCACTCATCGCTGTTGACTCCAGGGAACCTGAAAAATTTGGCACAGAAGAATTTTTAGCTCTGGTGTGATTAACCGCTATGATGCGTTCCGGTATCAGTTGATGGGAAGCTGGTATCAACGCCTTTCCGTAAGCCTGTTCCGGGAATTCGCTTGATTTACCTGAAAAATCAATATTATACATTTTGAGTTAAGTATTCACAAATTACGTCCACAAGGAGAAGACGCGAAGAGGGTTTAACAATAACTCAACTGGAAAAATGAACAGAAAACGCCTAATCTAAATTAAAATAGTTATATCTTCATCATTGGGTTATAATTTAACATTTTGCAATTACTAGAGATTCGAAAAATCAGCTAAAATACTTTTAGCTTATTACAGTGATGTGAAGGACGATTCAACAACTAACAACCGAGGTAAAACCGAGAAAAAACTGTAGGAAAAAAATCGCTGAAGCATAATAAGATGACAAAGGTAATATACTTTAAGTTTTGAACAAGAAAAACATTAGAAACTTCGAAAAACCTAGTTATTTTGGCAAAATCTGCATAAAAAATAATTCCTGTTGAAAACGAGAGAGGAGAGAGCGCTAGAGAAAGTCTCTCTGCGAAGGCGCATTTCTCGTGCGGGAGGCCGTGTTGGCGCGGGTGTTCAAATAGATAAATTGGTTTCGGAGACTGAAGACTTGGTTACAAATCTAACAAACATGGAGAATAAAATGAAATGATATTATTTATTTTAAAGATTTGATTTAAATTCTTTTGAGTTGTCGACAATTCCATATATATCCTCCTTCATAAATTGTTCCATGTAAGCATTTACCAATTCTGGTTGGTCCTGTTGGACCCAGTGAGATGCTCCCCGGATGAATTCAACGCGACAGTTGCGACAGTACTGAAAACGCCGTAAATCAAATTGGAGTCGATGAAATTACACAAACTTGGACCGAAAATTCAGCTCCTTTCTTATCCAAAAAGTTGTCTTCATCACCCCACAGTATCAAAACCTTTGGTTGAACTATCTGGAGTTTCCGAGAAATTGAAGGAGCGTTGAAAAGATCACGGTAATAGTTCAGTGGCCCTGTAGTGGCTCCTGCAAAATATAACATTGACTTAAGTCATCAACCACGGTAGTCGGTAGTACCGAGGATCAGTGTGCCTTATCGACAAAAATTTTCCGATTTTGTCGACAAATTTACTTGACAAATTATCGATAAATTTGTCGATAAAAAACGATAAAATTTTGTCGATAAATTGTCGACAAATTATCGGTAAATTTGTCGAAAGTAATTTATCGGCAAATTTATCGACAAAATTTTGTGGACAAATTGTCGATAAATTTGTTGTTTTTTTTTGTCGATAAATTTGTCGAAGGGGGCATTTGTCGACAAATTATCGACAAAAAATTGCTATTGACCGCCGGAATTACTAGTTAAAAATCGTATCTCATCTTTTTTTCTACACCATCTGACCTGGTGGCCTAATTTTTCCAACATGAATTTTCTAGGCCACCAAACTTTTTGACCTGAAAATGATCTGATACACACCTGGTACGTTTTCTGAGCCATTTTAACATGGTGGCCTAACTTTCGTAAGTTGAGTTTTCTAGGCCACCAACTTTTTTGGCCTAGAAATGGTCAGATATTCACCTGGTACGTTTTCTGAGCCATTTTGGGGTGGTGGCCTAACATTTGCAAGTTGAGTTTTCTAGGCCACTAACTTTTTTTGCTTAAAAATGATCAGATATCCATCTGGTATGTTTTCTAGGCCATTTTTACATGGTGGCCTAGAAAACTCAACGCGCAAAAGTTAGGCCACCATGTTAAAATGACCTAAAAACACACCAGGTGAACATCAGATCATATCTAGGCTAAAAAGAATCGTGACCTAGAAAATTCATGTTGTGAAAGTTGGGCCACCAAGCCAGATAAAAGTTTGCGTGGGTAAGTTCTTCCATCATTCTAGAAGTCCTAGGAAAAAATGTTAACGATACGATTTTTTACAAGTAATTCCTGCGGTTAATAGCAATTTCAATTTTTGTCGACAATTTGTCGATAAATTTGTCGATAAATTGTCGACAAACAGCATTTTTATCGACAAATTTATCGACAAATTGTCGATAAATGTTGTTTTTATCGACAATTTGTCGATAATTTTCCGATAAATTTACCGGTAAATTTGTCGATAAATTTGTCGAAAAGGGCGTTTGTCGACAAATCATTTGCCGATAAGGCACACTGCCGAGGATATACATATTCTAGCTTACCTGGTTGACTGAAAACATGCTTCCATGCTAGCATATCCTCATCTGTGAAGTTCTGTGAATTCCTTATTCCAGCTTGTTTTCCTCGAAACATCGCCTCCAACATTTTCATTTTATTAGACCTCATTGCAATTTCAGGAATGTGTTGTGATTGGAAAAAGTAAACATACCTGAATATAAATGTATAGCTTTCATAATAAGAATTCATCTTACCAGCTCTTGTCTCTTTGCTCTTTACTAACTTTATAAACATCAAAAAAGGCAATTGGATGTGGAACATTACAGATTATTAGTCGCTCAATCAGTTCTTGATGCATCATCGCAACACGCCAACATATCATTGCTCCCCAATCATGAGCAGCCAGTGTCACTCTTTTCAATCCAAGAATTTCAATAAACTGACGGATATCATCTACGAGATAAGATATGTTATAGTTTGATATCCCAGACGGTCGATCGGTTGAGTTATATCCACGCATATCAATTGCAATACATCTTCAAAAAATAAAATAAAATAAAATTTTTAATAGGAAGATACCTATGAGTATGCTTGAAATGTTCCAACTGAAATCTCCAGGAATACCAAAATTCAGGAAATCCATGAACCATCAAAAGAACATCTCCATCTTCAGGACCTTCTTCCACGTAATGCATTCTGATATCTTTCAATTGAACAAACTTATGATTCCAATTTTTGAGACATTCTGGTTCAGGATAAGTGTACTCCGTAAAGTAGTCCTTGTCCTTCGTCAACCATTTCCATGTCAATGTGAGCAATGCTCCAGCAGTATAAATATACTGTCTCCAAGTTGCGTAAACAACTCGAAATAGATTAGCAGCAATTCCCATTCGGAAATACAAAGAAGACAATAATAAAAAATAGACAGGAGGGGTTATCAGTTTATAAGACATCATAGAATAGAGACGCAGGTTTTAAGAGACTCCAATGTAGTGAATTGAAAATTTTGCGAACATACTGTCATTGAGAAAACAAAGAAAAATAATCACAAAACGAAAAAAGAGGAATTACAAGTTTGTTCGAAATGTGTTTTGAACAGAAAAGAAGAAGATGAAAAATTCTTGATGTCGTGATGAAGGCTTTCAAAAAATATATAATAACGTTTTCAGATTATGATTTATGATTCAAATTGAAAAAGTGGCTCATGAAATTGGCAATTGAAACTGTAACCGAGCATCTGCATCTCAAAAAACGTAGTTTTTAGATACCGGGGACACCGTAATTGATGTTCTCTGAAAAACAAAAAAAGAACAAATACCGTACAACATGTATTAGATTGGCCCTTAACTTTTAACTTTTATCTAATTTATTTTCGTTTCCTGTCAAAGATATCAAAATGTTGTCAACTGATAAACTGTTTATCATAATATCAGACGTTATTTCATCAGTAGGCACATTTTTGATACCTTGCGTAGGAATTGAGATAATTGAGCTGAAACTTTACAGTGTTAAAACGATATGTAATAAGGGGCTCTTCTATTACAGGTTTCACGGTATTTTACTCTTGTCAACTGGAAAATCTTTGAAATACTTTCAGAAACAATCACCCAGTAAACGATGACGTCTTCAGGTAACCATTTGATGAATCCCTTATCACACACTAATTAGCTGAACCCAGTTTCTTTACACCCGATTCTATCTTCTTTTTCTTGTATCAGTTTTCTTTTACGGTCACAAGAGAAATACGACCTCTTCATCTTGATGTGTCTATATTTTCTCTTGAACAAACTATTAGATAATCTTCTTCATTTTTTTAGTGGCCGCAAATCTTTCCGCAAAACGAAAACTTCTTTTCCGAAGAAGGCATTCGCTTATGAGGCGGTAGTCAACTGTCGACCTATTTCGATATCCGCAAAAGGCTTGTTTTGTTTTTCAATGCTTCTCCTTCTAATAGTTTTTGCCGAGAAGACACTTTTAATTTTATTCTCTTCAGAATGGGATCGTTAGATTCAAAGTTGTGGATCGGAGTCCTAATCATTGCAATATTAACAGTTGATTTTCATTTCGAAGGGAAAATTGGATCCTATTTTGATTTTAGGTAAAGTTTCTAAGTTCATTAAAATCCTAAATGAAAAGTAAGTTTTCCAGATTCCGCACCTCATACTTTTCCAAACCAAGTACAGTATCCCTTACTCTAGCAGAAAAAGATATTGAGGAGCATTCTCCAGCTCCACTGTCCGTTTCAGAAGAATCAAAACCGATCGCTATTGTAACTGGGAGCTACGAGACAGTTTGTTTTTCTTATAAGTCATCCCATTAATTGATCCATTCAGGCTCACACGGGTCACATGAAGCATATACGGGAAATGTTCGAACACACTGGGTACCAAATTGTAACCAAAAATGAGCTAACTTTGGATACAAAATGGGATGTTATGTGGCATCATGAGTATAGTTTCACTCAGGAACCATTCAAAACGCTCATTAAAAATGCATCACCTAATCAAATTGTTAATCATGTTCCTGGATCTGGATACTACACTAGTAAAGTGAGAATTTGTGTTTTTTCAATTTATAAAATAGACATTTTAAGGTTCAATTGGCCACATCCACATTGTCAACCGGAGTTCCAAAGGCTTTTCAACTACCCGAAGAGAAAGAAAAATTTGTAGAATATGCAGAGAAAAATCCAGAAATTCTATGGGTTCAGAAAGACAATACTCACAGGTCTTTGAAAAATTCTTCATCCACAATTCTATTGTTTTTTTCAGAAATATCAAAATTCGATCGATTGGAGACATGGATTTAGGCAAAAACAATTCATTCATTCAGAAGTTTGTAGACAATCCTTTACTAATTGATAACAGGTGTTATCAGATGGAAATTGGTTTCAGTAACATTCCCGTTTCAGGAAATTCGATATTGGAGTTTATACAGTTGTCACATCTCTTCTTCCTCTCCGAGTTTACATTTATGACGGAGATGTGCTGATCAGGTAAATAAACATATTTTCTGCACTACTAAATAAGATATGATAGAGCTCGACGAGTACCACAAAATTATTTTTGAAAATTTTATCTTGTTTATAAAGGAAATGACAAGCTATAAAGCTCACAAGCTATAAAGTTCATCCAGTTCTAGAAATCACAATCTATAAAGTTCATCCAGATCTAGTCTGTTTTTCAGCCCATTTCTTCTATAACTTTACTCATATACAAGATATAGTTTTCAGAATGATAACATTTTCTAGTAATCTTCAAGTTCTATCATATCTAAATTAGTTGTTCAGAAAATAATGATTCTGAAGAAACCATGACAGGTCCGGTTAGGGCCCGTTGTGAGTCTGTTTTCAATTCTGCATTTTCTAGGTTTTGCCCGGAAGATTATCATCCTTTTGGTGTTGAGAATGTGGATAAATATGTTGTTGGAGATGATTATACTCCAGTTTGGGAGATCAAATCATTGGAAAAGTACTTCAATGTTCAAAAGATGAGCTTCAGAAGCACTGTCGATTCTTATTTGGGAGTTCAAGGAAAGGATTCAAGTAAAATTTGGCAACAAATCAGAAACATTATAGGAAAAGTGAGTGACTATCTAAAATCAATCAGAATCTAAAAACTCCAATTCCAGGTGTTTCGATCGCAGCAAACAAAAATGCTGAAAAATCTGCAGAGTCTGAAATTAAATCCTAAATATTTTGAGTTGAGTAGATTCGACTTTGTTGTGGATGATGAATTGAATGTGTTTTTGATGGAGGTAGGTGTTTGTTTTTTTCTATTCTGCAAAAATCTTTCCAGGCCAACATGTCTCCAAATCTCTCATCTGGACATTTTAAACAAAATCAGATTCTCTATGAAAAAGTCTTGATGAACATTTTTTCTTTGACAGGAATTTCCAAGCAGTTCACTAAAGATGCATACAACCAGTTCAAGTGAGTCCAAATAACTTTTCTTGTTTCGTGTAATTCAATTTTAGATCCCGCGCATCTGATCAGAATCCACTTGTGAACTCTCGTGACATCAATCTTCCTCTCAAATTTTGCGTTGAAGACAAGTGTGAATCATGCAACGAGGCACCCGAATGTCAGCTTTGTGGTCACTGTATGAGCATAGAAACTCGTAAAACTTTAGAAGACACTTATTTGGAGCATATTAACAGAAGACAAATGAGGCGGATAGAGTTAGATTACGAAAACCATCAGGTTTCGTTTCTTAGACCATTAGAAATGCCAATCAAAAATTTTCAGCCACTTACAAAAGAAGACCATTTACTCTCCCTATGGCTGAGAACAAAGTGTCAGATGGACTATAGTTGGTGTTGATTTCCAATGTTTGTTAACCGATGGATGTTAATTAATAACTAGTCAATCATGAAATACGAGTGAATCAGTTGATTATGAATAAATAAGTTAGAAGCTTTTATGATTTAATTGAATTCATACAAATTTCCAACAGAATAGCATCTGTTCCGTTTAAAAAGAAGCATATGGTTTTTTAGATTCAATTTTTCGCTTCCCACAGACTAGATGTTTGGCACCGGATTCAGAAAGCCCGGAATCTGTGAGACCGCGCAAATTTCGGGTAAAAAACTACGGGGAAAAGTGGGCGGAGTCGGGGCGGAGGCTAAAATGCAACCCTGGCACGGTTTTGCCGCACGGTTTTTCTGCACATTTGGACACGGTCATGAGGGGCGGAGCCTAAATTGCAACCCTGGCACGGTTTTGCCGCACGGTTTTTCTCGACTCCGCCCAAATTTCCTCGGAGTTTTTTCCCCGGAAAATTTTTTCTCCGGAATTTGCGGGGTCTCGAATCTGTTCAATCTCGATCGAAATCGCGCCCCTCCGTGTGAAAGACACGCGCGCGCAGAGCACGCGACGCGCCTGCAGGCACTGGGATCGCTCGCTTTTCTCTACTTTTCCTCGTGCCGCATGCCGGCGTCGACCTAATCGAATCATTTTTATAACTCTCTCTTGGCACGGCGCTATTCTTCTTTATCAACTCTTCAATATTGATAATGAATAGGAAGCGTATTCACAATTTCATAGAAACATTGACTGTTGCAACCCTTTTTCAAATTTTTTCTCTTTACATCTGTTTCGCAACGAATCGATCTCAGAAGAATATTTAAATCGTTGATTCCAGCTCTTGCACTCACTTCATTAATCAAAATTACCCGAAATAAGATCTGAATTCGGGTAATTTAGAATGGAGGACTCCGGTCAACTGCCAAATGCACAAAATGAGAAAACAGAGGAGGAAACAGTGAGTTCTAGCATACTTCATTAATTGAAACTTATACCAAATATTTTAAAGAATCGCTCCCAATACACAATGTCGGGTATATTGCACTTTATACAACATGAGTGGACAAAAAACGAATTAGATCGAACCAGGTGGGAAGCTGAACGAGCTGAAATGCAGGTATTCTTTTAAACATCGTTTTTGTACCTATCAAAATAAATTGCAGGCTCGTATTGCTTTTCTACAAGGAGAGCGAAAAGGTCAAGAAAACCTGAAACAAGACCTCGTCCGTCGTATCAAAATGTTAGAATTCTGCCTGAAACAAGAAAGGGCGAAAAACTATCGGCTAACACACAACGGTGAAGAACCCCCTTCGTTTGATGAGTCGGCAAATGAAAACTCTGCTCCAAGCGGTAAATTATATAGTTATTTTTCTTCAAAACATCAAGTTATTGCAGATAACAGTCACCTTTCGGCAGATCTTGACGCCTACATTAATGATGCTGGAGAAGCAGGAGGTAGTTTCCGTCAAGGAAGATTACTTTTGAAACGGTATCTCGAAGAAATCGGGTACAGCGAGCACATCATGGACGTTCGTTCATTTAGAGTGAAAAATCTTCTTGGATTATTACCACAGGTTAGTAAAGAATCCTTTCGCACACCAAAAACGTTTTGTTTCGAACTTTCAGACGGATCTTCCATCTAGTGAACGGTTAAACGGCAGAAAAGAAAAGAGTGACAGGTAAATTTCTGGAGGTCATAAAAAGCAGACTTTCATTTTCCTATAGTGATTGCAGTGATTCTGAAGATGGTCATGATGATGCAGCTCTTGATGCTGACGCCTCCAAAGCGTTCGAAGAATTTGACTTTCTCAACAGCATGGATGTGAAAGAAAAAGGATCAGATGCAGACGACTGGACTGGCAAAGGGGCATCGTATGAAAAGCTGATAAAACAATACAAAGATGATCCAAAAGTGAAACGGCGTTCACGGACATCAACGGAAGAGTCTGATGAGAAGACGAGCAGTGAAGTTCACAAGAACTTGGAGACCGATGTGCCGCCTGGCATCAAATCAGCAATCGACGCTTCCGCCCAACAAGAGTTACCCACACGGAGACAAGGAAGGCGCAGTGCCAACTTTGGCTACGGAAACGGAAACGAGCTTGATGTTGCTCTCGGTATGCAAGAAAACGAGAATATGGACATCAAGGATGAGTTCAAAGACGATGTAAGTTGGATTCGCTAAATGTTGGAATTCGCTAAAAACAATCACTATTTATAACAGTATTTTCAGGATGATGATACAAATCTGCCGCCTGTAAAATGGAACATCAAAGTGACACTTCGTTCTCATTTGGATACCATACACGCAATGCAGTTCCATCCAGTCGAGCCTGTTCTCTTCACGGCATCTGAAGATGGACTGATCAAACTATGGAACCTTGATCAGAAGAAAGAAGATAAACATAATAGTGGCGGCGGTACAGAACTGGAACCAGTTTACACTTTCCGTGGTCACAAGGGAGCAGTGCTTTGCTTAGTTCTATCTCCGACCGGAGACCATCTATATACAGGCGGACAAGATGGTAACATCTGCTGTTTCAACGTGCCTTCTTCCAACGGAGATCCATTTGACTCCTATGGTAAGTCAATAATATATTAGTTTTGTTTTAGATAACAAAATATACTTTTCTTGAAGTGCTGGGGTGAACATTAAGTTTCTTTTTTTCAAGTCATCAGGTGTTGTGTGAAAAGAATATTACTCCAAATGGTATTTATAAACACAAAATTTATAGTGCAAGTTGAAAAAAAAAAAAATAAATTGACCTTGGCTCTGTTCGTATGAGATTACTGAATACGTAATTTTCAGATCCACGGGTTCTTAGTGAAACTCTTACCGGTCACACAGATGCTATCTGGTCCGTCGCTTATCACTCGTCGAACAGTCGTCTCGTGTCTGCAAGTTCTGACTCAACAATTCGTTTATGGGAACCAGGAAATGGAGAGCCACTAATCAGAACAATTGGAGCTCCACAGCCTGGTATGATTCCAACTTCTGTCGACTTCGTTTCCACAGAAACTTCCCATTTACTTGCTGCCTACACACAATGTTACGCTCAAATCATCGATATTGACACTGGTAGCACTGTGATGGTCTTTGATTTTGGACCTAAAGTTGTTGGAACACCAACGATGAACAAAATTGTGAGCCATCCAACAATGCCGCTAACTCTTATTGGTGGAGAAGATCGGACAATTCGATATTTCGACAACACAACAGGAGCGATACTCAGTGAATCATTGGCTCACGTCGAAGGAGTATCTTCATTAGCAATTGATCCAAACGGGCTATATCTTCTGTCAGGAAGTCACGACGGAAGTATCAGGATGTGGAATATGGAGAGAAAGTCTTGTCTTCAGGTAAAATTATGTTCAAAAGATCTTTTCATTACCGTTCTTTTTATTTCAGGAAATATCTGCTCACCGGAAGAAGAATGACGCAGCAGTAACGTCTGTTGCTTTCCATCCCTCAAGATCTCTTATCGGATCTGCTGGAGCCGACTCTCTCGCCAAGGTCTACGTGTCAGGAAGCAATTAGATCGTGTTAAATTTCTTTTATTGATTCCCAGTTCATTTTCAACCGATTGTTTCCGAAAGTATAATAGGAATTCGCCAGTTTATTTTCCTGTTTTGTGCCCAACCACTACCCACATTTCCACAATTTAACTGCTCTGCATTATCCCTATTGTAGATAACCAAAATTCCCCCACAATTCCCACGTAAATCTAATTTTTAGCCCCTATTCCTACTGAATTTTTTGAGCCTTAATTGGAAGGAGGAACACCGGTCGAACACGCTTGTGAGCTTCTAAATTTACCGAGCAATGTAAATAGCACTCTGACAGTCATCTTAGCGTTTAGATCGACATTTGTCAGATTTCCTTAGCTATTGAGTTTTTCCCTCCTTTTAAGATTTATAGCTAGGTATTAATGATAGGACCGACATTGAAACTTATGAAATTAATTTTTACTGATATCAGAAAACAAAAATGGTTGTTAAGTTTCTTTACAGCTCTAGACATGTGTTCCGACTTTCCATTTCCTTTTGTCTTAATATTCTGCGCCATGTTCTGTTCTCTCGGCTACACATACTCCCAAAAGCCTAGTTTTAATCGATCGTAACCCACCGAAATCTAAATACAGATCGTAAGTTCTCATGCTCGTCTACTTCATAAAACCCATCCATTTGACTCTTTTTCATCCTTTCTCTTCCTTTTTTCTCGGTCGATAGACTATTGTTCAATTCGTGGACTGTATCATAAACAACCGAGACTTTCTTCTTTTTGCTACACATCGAAAATACAGATTTTCTAAGAAAACAACCTTCGCCAAATCCTTTTTTTTTTTGACTTGCGGGTTGTTTTGGGAATTTTTTAAACCTGAAGATCACAGAACCTCAAAGCGACACAATTTCTTTTTTTTCCCACAATGTTACGCTGGCGTACAGATTAAGCCGAGATTATGACTTGAACTTACAAGAACTTGCTAGGTGCAGTGCATCTTGAGACCAACTGAGCAAGAAAAATATTCAACCTATCCGGGACGTCAGAACGAGCGGTTGACATGGATTAAGTTGAAAGAAGAAAAGAGTCTTCTGAAGTATTGTTCCTAATATGACAAATAATAGTTAGATCAAAACAAAATTAGAAGAAGAATGTAAGGTAAAGTGAAAAGATTTTGATCATGTGTCCAATAATAAGAAGCATAAGGCGGGTTTATTCCTTGCCAGTATGTTACAGTACCAGACAAAAACCTTCATAATTTTTGATTTTAACAAGGACTCTACACTTTTTGGAATTTCATTTTTTGGGTTTCCGTGTTACAGTAAGTATCTGAAACAAATAAAATCGCCCTATAAGTTGAACTGCAAACCTTGTTTTAGATTAAGGCCCTTTTTCAAAACGGAAACTCTGAAAATCAGAAAGTTTTTGATTCGAGTTTTTAAATTAGGCTTTTCCTGGCACCAAGTTTACAGCAAAAAAAAGCATACTTGCAAAATCTCGGGCCGGCCCGGGGTATTTACGGACGTTGATTTTTTGAACTTTTTTTCAAAAATATTGAAATTTTTTCAAAAATTTAAACAAAAACGATCGATTTTTTGACTACTTTTTACTTTGTAATTTTGGTTAATAATGTACCATTTTTCTTTTTAATTCAAAAAAAAATTACCCGAATTTTCGTTAGAAATTTTTCAACTGTGGCCGAGAAAATTCGTCGACCGGCCCGTCCCGGCCTTTTGCAACTATGAAAAAAAGCTTTTGCGCGGTATTGTATGATACAGACAATGCATAATCTCAGTTTCTTGTTATTATTGAACGAAATCTTTTAGTGGTACAAATGACAAGTGAAAGGGAATTCGAAGAATATTGTCAATTCAAAAAAAAGCAGATTCTTTTCCAATAATCAACTATGCAAATGATGTTGTTGATTGTGCTCTTTGTTATTTATTTTCAATGATTAACCCATTTTCAGTAACCCAATTTTCCATGAACATGGAGGTTCTTTATTTCAATGACTCATGATTTTTTCCTGGCGTTTCATAAATTTCCGAGACAAACTTTAACAAGAATATTCGTTTTACACATGAATAGTTAAAATCCGTTGATGATTCAATGATGTTTTCCTGAACCTTCGAAACTGTTCTTTGTTCAGAATGCACTGAACTAGAAGGATTTAGTCAGAATTGTAGTTGTCGTGGAGCATCATGTCATGCTGAAACTAAAAAGAATAAGGAAGAAGAAAGTTTGAAGATTAGTCTACCTGACGCATTTGGGTTCAGTGTACTTAACAATGTATGTATCTTTAGCTAGTTCTTTGAATTCAGTTTTGCAGTATCAACAACTACGATTCGGTGATTTATCAATTTTTTAAGTGATCGTTCATGTATTTTTCGTAAAAAAGGAACTGGAGTTGTATCGTTTTATCGTCAGTCGTTTTCCTTTTTTTTTGTATTCGAGCCAATTTCCGTTATTGTCTGATAAAAACAGATTAATTTTCATTTGCTTTCAGTTTTCCACCGCTTCTCCTATATGTAATTGAAAATGCGGATGCGGAACTAATTTTTTAGCATCCTTGTGTTTTACCTAATTCTTTTTTATGATTTCAAACAGTCTTTCCCAAAAAAAAGTAAATTTGGAATTTGACTATTTAATAACGTAATTTTTCGAAGAAAACTACAGCTCATGAAAATTTCCAGGAGATTACTGTAGTTTCCAGTTCTCTTGCAAATTCGGGAAACTGTTGAGAATTATTTGAAAATAAAGATAAATCCAAAATGTGTCCTGTGGTCGATAAAATGGAACAGAACTGTGGAAAAAGAAAGTTACCGTACACAGTTTAATAGAACGCCCCAAACCATCTTTAAGTCCATTCATCTCGGTTACCATGAAAGATTGCGGAAAGTGGTGAACTGAGAAAATGTTTTTCATAATATGATAAGCATTTTTCCAGTTGATCACTTTTTGATATCTCTTACAGGGAATGAGATATGTGCGTTTAAATGTGAAAGTTAGGGGAGGTGTTCTTTTAGAGTGTGTAACCGGAATCTGAGAAACATTCTGTAAAACGATTTCTTTCCTTTTTCCACATTTCTGACGTCGTATTCATAAACATTTATCTAGAAGTATATTTTTTAATTCGAAAAATCAACGGAATTATTTACCGGAAGAAAAATTGGACCATGAGAATGTACTGAAATTGTTCTTTTTCCTAAATCACTTTTCTGTTTTTAAAACAGGAGAACTGCTTCTGAACTATCAATTCTCACACACAAAAAATGAAAAATATTTGTTTTCGAACAGTGTAACTTGAATTTCTAGCTCTATTCATTCCTGCAATTTTCGAATTTATATTTCTAAATTATCGTTCGAATTTCAGCATCATTTGACGATTTCAAACTTTTACAATTTTGATAAAGCCCGACTTCCAAGAGTTTCCTTTTTTCGTTGAATGATAATTCTATTATTTCATTCGAGACTCGAAACTCCGCCCACTTTCTCTAGAAGTAGACACCGAGTTCTCATAGCTTCTGCCCAAATCGCATTCTTTCTTGCTTCCCCCCTTAACTCCGCCCCTATTTATTATAAAAGTCATATAATTTGAAAACAAATTCTTGTAATATGTTCACAGAAGAACAACTCATGACGTTCTCGTATACTGTCGATTTCGGTGAGCCCGAATGGTTGAAGATTTATTACCATGGAATATCAATTGTATCCACAATTATCTCATTTTTCTCAATGTATGTCATATTGTTTCAAAGTGGAAAAATGGACGGATACAGATATTATTTGTTCTACATGCAGGTTAGTTCAATTGCTCACAAACGTCGTATTATGTATTTCATTTTTCCAGTTTGCCGGCTGGATGATGGATCTTCATATATCCACATTAATGCAATTCATCCCATTATTCCCAGTATTCGGTGGATACTGTACTGGAGTTTTGACTCAATTCTTTGGAATTGATGACTCTTTCCAAACAGTAAGTTTGGTTCAATGGTTTTTGTTGTGACAATCAGAATAAAGACCAAAACTAAAAATCAGTTCTTTGTGGCTTTATAAACCGTTGGAAAAACACCAGAGAATCATTTTTTGATATTGCTAACCACAAAAAATATTTTTAAATATTTTTTTTGATAATACGAACACCGGCATACAAATTACAGGAAACAACCACTACAGTTTTTACATTGTAAAATAATAAATACATCGTGGACGGTAATTGCTCACCTCACCTAGTTCTTCATATTGGGACATGTTGACTAATTGTTTTTTTTCAGACATACACCGCCTTCACAATCTGTCTGGTAGCAAGTGCCTTAAACAGTTGTTTTGTTCGAAAACATCAAGCTATATCCAAAATATCATCAAAATATCTTTTAAATGACATCCCATACATTATCGTCATTTTTCTTCTCAATTTCTATCCAGTTGTTGCCGCAACATTGCTCTATTTGAGTATGCTTTCAAAGGAAAATCAAGTGATTCTTGTCAAAGAGGTCATCCCTTTCTATAAATATCTCAAAATCTTAAATTTCTGATCTTCAGGTCTACCCAAATCTTGTTGATAACTTTGCTCATCTTTCGAACTACGTAGTCTTTGACTCCAATATTTGGGCGATTATCTTCTTTGCTTTTATATTCTTCGGATGTACATATACCTTGATTCTCATCGTCACCACCACATATTCAATGTTCAAAACTTTAGAAGATAACAGAAAACATATCAGTTCTTCCAACTACGCAAAGCATCGAGCAACGCTAAGAAGTCTTCTGGCTCAATTTGCCACGTGTTTTCTGATTGTTGGACCTGCTTCGATATTCTCCCTTCTGGTGGTGATTCGTTACGAACACAGTCAAGGTTGGCCTCAAAAATAGAATCGAAAATCAACGAAACAATTTTCCAGTGGCTACACATTGGATTATTGTTGCTCTCACTCTTCATTCAAGTGCAAATGCGATTGTGATGATTATCACTTATCCTCCATATAGAAATTTTGTGATGTTATGGAAACCAAACAGGTCAGATTTGGAACAACTTGTGATCATCCTATCATTCAAAGTTATTTTCAGATCGTTCCGTTTCTCCAAAACACAGCGGTCAGTAGATATGAATACCAGAATACACACGGAGAGAAGTTTTGCTGTAACCATGACCTCATCAAGATCCTGATTTCTTCTCATCAAGATCCTGATTTCTCCTCATCAAGATTCTGATATTATTTTTTACCTCAACAGTGTTCATAATAAAGTATCCCGTTTTACCCCATTCTACACTCAATGGATCTTTTTGTTGGAAATATCAAAAGGGTCAAAATCTAAAGAATGCAAAACGTCTATTATCAAAAATCTTGTATCAGTCTACCAGTTTTTAATATCTTATACAGGGACCGAGATAAATTGGCTCAAAGTTGAAAGGAACTCTTCTCTCGAGATGTCAGGAACTCTTCTCTCGAGATTTTAGTCTGGATGAACTGAACCGGAGAACGTACTGTGGTACATGTCTGCGATAATTTCTGGAGAGAATTGAAACTACAAAAAAAATGAGAAGAACGTCAAGATCACTAAGTTCATTGGAACAAATCAGAAATGCATGGAAGACAAATCCATTGAACTGAACATCATCTGATTCTTCAAATATTGAAAAACGTAATCCCCGGAAATTTTTTTTTCTGTTTTCAGAGTGAACTGAGGGAACTGACAACTTTCGAGTTTTTGAGCTTCAGTTGTTTAGAAGTTGGAATTTTTCCAAGCTATAAGATTACAGAACTTGAGAATTCCACAATTTCTAAGTTTTCGACCTTGGGAATTCCCGAATCTTGGAATCTGTGAGTTAGAGTAACTTCAAATTCTGAATTTCACCTCTTCAGTTTTGGAATTCTAACCTTTGGTTTTAGGAACTTTCGAATTCCCGACGAAAATTAAATAACTTTTCATTTTCTGAATTTTTGGATTTCGAATATTCGAACTTCCCAAATTCTGGAGTTTTAAGTTTTCTAAAGTCTGAGAGAGAGAGAGAGAGAGAGAGAGAGAGAGAGAGAGAGAGAGAGAGAGAGTTTCTAAATTTCTAAGTTTTGAACTTTTTGAGAATCTGAGATTTACCGAATTTTTCGAAATTTTCGAAATTTCCAAATTTCTGAATTCTCCAAATTTCTAAATTTTCAAATTTTCAAATTTCTGGATTCTTTTAAATTGGAGAGAAAATAACTTTTTTCCTGGAGATCTGAAGAGAAAGTTTTTGTTGTCAAAAACAGATGAGATAAATACATAAACAAGTTTCAGATGCCGTTCCTCTACAATCGGACTCCCAATCTGTTGCGAATTCAACTCTCCACGTCACAACTTTCTCTCCGATCAAGAACTTTTCCGTGTTGCTAGAATACTTACCTAATAAAGAAACTGATCTGATTGATATCTACAAAAACTGTTTGTCCCTTCTATCTTTCCCTTTATAAACCGTTCTGTGATCCGTCAGATAACAAGCCAACGATGACAATTAAATAAGCCATTTATCGAGGAATACTTGGAGAGAGACGGGATAAAACAAGATTTGATACCGAAAAATTGATCATGTCCTGGTCTGCAAATCTCCCTTCTTTGCCACAGTACAGTTCACATTTTGTGTTTGTGCCCGAGTAATACGGTAACTGAACTCACATCCCACCCATTTGATCTCTCACACAGAACAAATCACTCACAGACCAACTACCTTTTGTTTATATTTGTAAAATGTTGCGAAGTAATAACGGAAATAGTAATTTGAAAGATTAAGTTGTTAATCTGTGAATTGAAGATTACTGTACCACTTGAACCGGCTATAAATACAATAGCCACTTTTGAAAGAGATCACATCTGAACTGCTGAACTGAATATGCGAAGACACAAAATTTCCAAAACTTTGTTGTTTTATAATCCTTTTTAGTTCGTGTCCTCGATAGTTACAAGTAGTTATCCCTGGTAAATAAAGTTTAGAGATATCCGTTCCCATCAATTTTCATTTTTTAATATCTCCTGATTTTCGAGCAGACCTCACTATAACTGTAGTTTGTGACAGAAAACCCATTTGATCTCTTTCACAGAACTAAATCAAAACCTTCCGAACTTTGTCCTCAACGCGGTATTCTTCGTATTCGATAGTTTTTAGCAGTTCAGAAAAAATATAATAAATCAAACACTGTCAGGTTTAATGTTTCGATGACTTTTGAGATACATCATTGATCACGCTTATCTATAAAAATCTTCTTCTCTTGCAGATTTTTCACCTAATTGTAAAACTCTCTATTCACAATTTTCTGAACTTGGAATCACTTAAATGTTTTCCCAAAACCGAATTTCCAGACACAAAATGTCCTGCTGGGGGAACTATTACCGGTGTCTTATTCTATTCGTTGCCTTTTTATGCCTGACGTCCATATGTTCAAATTACATTATCATTAATTTCTCATTCATTTGTATGCAAGAAGATCTCACTGACTTTGTAGTTGTTAATGGGGTTGGTTTGGTACTATCTGAAGACAGCAGGACGATTTAATGAACTTCAGACCAAAACAAACATTTATACCTACGACGGTGACCATAAAAAGTATATCATGTGGGCAGTGGGTGCTGGAACAGTACTTGGCACTGTGCCAACAAACTGGCTCGTCGTGAAGTTTGGAGCCAAGTGGACATTTTTAGTCGCTGGATTGATTTCTGCTGCTTCAACAGCATTGATTCCTTTAGCGGCAAAATACGATTATTATCTTCTCCTTTTTCTTCGATTCGTACAGGTATAGTCGGCATCCACTTATTTTAAAGTTTTCCAATTTTTTCAGGGTTTTGCCTATTCTACTGATTTCGCAGCAATCGGAATCATAACAGTTCGATGGGCTCCACTCAACGAAGTTGCATTGTTCCTGGCCATTCTGACTTGTTTCACGGGAGCTGCTTCTATCATAACTAACTCAGTCACTGGATTTATCTGTGAAAGTTCTTTCGGATGGAAGTATGCATACTATCTACACGCATTCGTAGGACTTATTTTGTTTGCATTATGGGCTGCATTTTACATTGATGATCCACAAGATTCGAAAAGAGTATCCGATAGAGAGTTAACGGGAATTCACAAGAATAAATCGGCTGCTCATTTGGACAAAAAATCAGACATTCCTTATACGGTAAGCAAATACCCAACAACACTGGTTACATTAAAGTACCGTAAAACCTCTAATAGAACGACACCCGGATCGTCCACTTTGAGCCTATATATCTCATTTTCTGTGAAAAATATCAAAAAGTGGCTAACTAGTAAAATGTTGCTGATATCCTGATAAACATTTTACTAGTTAACCACTTTTTGATATCTTTTAAAAGAAGTGAGATATATAGGCTCAAAGTGAACGATCCGGGTGTCGTTCTATTAGAGGTTTTACGGTATGTTCAGAAACTCTTCACAAGTCCTGTTGTTCTTATTATTTGGCTGAATGCATTCTTCGAGATGTCTGCTGTGATCTTTTTCACCACATATTTACCTATTTATTTTCACCAAGTACTCGGGTTTTCAATTCAACAAACTGGAGTCATTGTGGCAATTATTCTAGGTGTTAATATACCTCTTCGGCTTGCATCAGCTACGTTCAGCGATCGAATCACGTGAGTCAAGATGAGATTTACAGAAGTCTATTGAATCAGAAAATTTCAGATTTTTGACCGAGAAAACTAAAATCATAATTTTCAATTCGATATCAGTGGGACTTTCTGGTCTTCTGTTAGCGTGCACTGCGTAAGTAAAATCTGAAATTTTAGATGATCCAGACACAAATATTTTCAGATTTATTCCATCGGAATTCAATGTCGAAATCTGCTGGTATTTTGTTGGGATAATGATGTGCATTTCAGTGAATTGTGGTGGATTTTATAAATGTGCTGCTCTCCATGCCAGGTATTCTAATTTCTTCTGTGATCTACAAAACGCTCAGTTTCAGACAACATGCTCACATTGTAATTGCTGCAATTCAATTCACAAAATGCCTGGCACTTTTCACTGGTCCCACATTGGTCGCATTTTATGTCAAAGTGGAATCAAACCAATCACAGTGGATTCCAGTTTATCTATGTCTTGGCCTTTCGATGTTTGCTGTATGTTGTTTGGCAATTCAAAGTTTCAAAAAAGTTAAAAATTTCAGGCCAACTTGATTTCCGTATTTGTGTTCACCGATGAGCCAGCAAAATGGACAGATAAATATGCGGAAGTGCCTTTAGAAGAAGCAAAATGTTGAAATTGTTTTAGCTAGTGCAAGTTCAACCTTACCTCTGTGAAGTATTCTTCCGGATGCTTCACCATCAGAAAAAAACCTCTATGAGTGTTGACTTGTTGTCTTCGTATGAAAATGAATTGTTTTTATTTTGAATGTGAAATCTGTTCTAGACATCAACCCGTTTATTTTTACACTAATGCACCGAGGTTTTAATTACTCTACTTTCAGTTTTGGTCTTAAACATTGACGTAGTACCCATCGTGCTATCACAAAAAATAATGCTAGTACAAGAAAAACAATAGAACCGACGAATACGATAATGTCAATCATGTAAAATGAAATGTATGACATTTTGCGAGAAATTGGGTCAAGATTTGGAAGTTCTCCGTATTTGGCTCCGAACTCTGCATGTTTTACAAGAAGATCATGAGGGGATACGGGCTGGTCTTGAAGTTGTTGAGCTAGACGTTCAGCGTTGATTTTATATCTGAAAAGATTCGAAGTTCACTAGAACAAATATGTTATAAACAAACCTCTCTTCCGTCAAAATAGTTTTGATTGCTGATCTCAACTTATCGAAATTACTCAAATCATATTTTGATAAAGTAATAGACCCGTTGTGTCTTTCCAAAGTTTTTGAGTTTCTCAATTGGTCTGCGAAAACGGGAATAAGAACTGCAGGTTTTCCCATATAGCTAAATTCAGTTACACTTCCCAGACCAGCATGAGTTATGAAAGCGGAGAGACGGGGATCGGCTGAAAAAAACAATGCTCAGATTTAAAAATTTTGAAAAAGAGCAAACCAAGAAGAGCAGTTTGTGGAACCCATTTTGAAAAGTGGAGATTAGGAAGGTTCTTGGAAAAACTGACATCGTCTTCTTCGTATTTCCAAATGAACGTTACATCTGGTAATGATGCGATGACTCGCACGATTGTCTGTCTGGAATTGTTTTTTTCAATTTCGGATATGTTTCAAAAGAATTTGCACTTGTAAATCGTTGGCATGTCTTTGGAGAAAATCATCGAGCCAAACGAAATTAACACATTCTTCTTATTCTTATCCAAAATTTGGTTGTACTCTTCGGATATCTTTTCTTGTTTCATTTGGGTCGCATTTACTGATATTCCTCCGATCATAACTGTTTTTGTCAGAAGTGCACGTGGGTAATCCAGGTACGGATTTCCATTCATGAACAGGAAAGGAGAGCGGGCAGTCATATCCTGAAAGTGAAATTAATTTTTGAGAATTCAGAGTCAAAAGTTTACAGCAATATCTATCAGTCGCTCAGGATTTTTAAAAGAGGCCATGGGTGGTGGGTGAACGAATAAATTGAAAAATACATCTCCAATCGTATTCTGAAGACGTTCCGAGAAAGTCATATCGTCTCCGAAAGAAGAAATCATGCCTGGAAAACAAATAATCGTTTACAGAAGCTTGACAACGCTCACTTGGCATAACAGTCGGAGAAGAAGGTTCTCCAATTAATCTGCTCATAAATGGATGATGGGTCATCGACAACGATGGAAACAAAGCTTTGATTTCGAGATATTCAGCAATTGCTAAAATTAGAAACTTATTTTTCTTCTACATAACTCGATCTCGAACACTTACGGTAGGATGTTGCACATAGGAACTCAAACACCATGGCATCGAATTTCCGATTCTTTAGTTCATCCAGAACCGAAAGATCATTTTTCAAATCTTCATAAAGCTGCTGAAACATTCTTGTGAATGCTTTGATGGCTGGAACAAACTGTATCGCTGTTGCATCTTTAGACCAAAACTTTGAATAATCTGAAGTGACTCCAAGAGATTCCAACTTTTTACTTGGCTGAATGTAGACGATATCTCTTGTAGATTCCAGATACTTGACGTTTTCGTATTTTCTTAGAATAATTGGAGCTAGAAAAGTAACATTGTGTCCAGCGTCCGATATAGTATCCGCAATTTTAGCAAGGAATTTATGATGACTGTGAGCATAAAGCGGGCAAAATACGAGAAAATTGAATGAAGAGGCTGATCCGACCAGAATCAAGAGTATTGAAAACAATGCGATTTTCATTTCGAGTATTGGTAGAGGTACATCGGTGTCTCGTTATCACTTTCATTTTATACTAATAAAATGCTTTTCTGACTTGATAGTTGATAACTGAAAAATCACAAAAAACCCCCGTCTAGTTGGTTAGACACAATGTAGTTTTGGGTGTAGTGAAATTGTAGTGTGATAAGATAACAACCATTTTATGATCAAAATATGACACAGGCAATACACAAATCATGGAATGAGGCGATCGTTTTTTGAGAGGAGCAGTTTGTAGCCAAGCACGGCGATTGTGGAGCCAAGATAGGGTCCCGCCCAATAAATATAGTGGTAAGTCCAAAATTTAGAAGGGAGAGAAGATGTTGATAGAACAATTTCAGCTACAACGTTTGGAGACAATGCACGAACTGGATTCATAGCAGTGCCAGTGATTGAGGCCCTGAAATTCTGGATAGAATAGTAAAAATTGTTCTCGGTCCTGTCTTACGTTGCAAAGATATTGACGATAACCATCAATCCAAGGTACAGAGGAGTTGCTTCCGTCTGAAATAAGAATGTTCTTATTTCATCAATTTTCTGCACTAACCGGCTCACTATCCACCACTAGCATGAGAATGACAGTTACGAAGAAGTAAGTGGTAATTGTTTCACTCATCAATCCCTCCCACCATTCATGATTAACTCCTAAATGAGTTATTCCAGATGATGTTGCAGATAGTTGGGTCGTCAGAAGAATCGTCTTCTCATAAGTTGAGTTATGAACTTTATCGTATCCATACTCAACACCTTGCGATGGAAGAGTGTATCGGATACTGGAATAATTCTCCCAAACAAGAAAGTCTCGCTTTCTTTGCAAGCATGCAGATAAAAGATTTCCACAGAAACCTCCAAAGAATTGAGATGCCATGTAGAATGGGAGTGCGAGTGGTGGTAGTTTCTGACACAAAACCATCGCCCAGGAAACGACTGGATTTAAGTGAGCGCCACTGATTTTCCCAAAAACTGCAATCACGACAATTGTTGCGAAGCCATGGGTCAATGCTGCATGACTAAGACCAACAGGTTGACTGATATCATATACATTAGCTTGCATGGTTCCTGAAATAACAAAATAAGGGTTTGCAGAGCTTAAAAAAATTACCGCTGAAAATAAAAATAAAAGTTCCTAGGAATTCAGCGTAGCATCTGCTAATGAGTGAATATGGTCTTGCTCGATCTGCTTTCTGATTATTTGTGCTTATGGCTCCTTGAATAGACGATATGAAGCTTTTTCGTCGATGCTGAAAACATACAAATATTTTAGAAAACTGATTTTGTGGAACTTACTCCAATTGGAACATCATTGTTTAGCGGTGGGGGAGTCATGAGAAATCGGGAAGAGTGGAACAAAAAATGTAAAATGAAAAGTCCTTTCCTACTTTTGATGAGTGTTGAGTTACCAGCGGACGAAGCGAGGGTTCCGGTAACTTGAGAATTGTAGATTGCCCCCATTTTTGCTTTTTTCATCTTTTTGCAATGAAAAATTATGTAATGTAATACTTGAAAATGGAAAAAAGGTTCAAAAACCGGAAGCATGACCGAACATGATACTGTTGAAGAGAAATGAACATGTCAGATAAAAGGAAGTAAAAGAAAGCGAAGAGAAGGAGGAAGAAAAATGTTTTTAAGTTCAAAGGAAATGAAGGAATTTAAATCTACAAAAACTTATGGAAAATATTCAAAACAAAGATCATGAAAAACAAAAAATGTTTTGAAATTTCTTGATTTGGCCCGTTGCGAATATGGTAAAATCAAGAAAAATACGTTTGTTAGGATGATTCATGTGACACACAACGACGTAAATGTCTATAAAATTTTTGAAGAAGAGATTTAAACGATTCGTTCCGGAAGTCGTATGAAGCGTAGGAGAGAAGCGTAATTTACTAATGTAGACATTAGTTTCCGAAGTAGAAGTTGTGTTCGATAATTCCCATTTTTTCCAGAAATTATCTTTCTGGTAGTCCATCGCTACATTCTTGTCTTGTTAATTCCGAATATGCAGAATCTTTTCGATAAAAATCTTTTCATTTTTTACATTCTCATTAATCAAATGCACATCCCCAAATCCATGGTGCTCTCTCAACTTGTCAACTCATTCCATCTCGATCCTCCTGACTCGTTTCCATCGGTCAAGATGACAGATTTCCCATCTCATTTCAGCTCCCCATCGTGTATTCTCTACTCACACGTTTCCCATCAAAATCCACTACCACCACCACTTTTCTTGTTCTTCTCCTTCTTTTTTTCGCCCGATTTCGATGTCTTCAAATGGGACGAGTCAGCCGAAAAAAAGATATCAGTTGAGAGACGAGAAGTCATCCGGTGGCTCGTCTCTGCGGCCTCCTCGACAAGCTTGCTCACATCCTGCCGTGGCCATTTTCAAATGCAATATTCATATCATATCAATCGTGTCTTCCTTCTTCTTCTTTTTCTCCATCTCCTTCTTCAACTATCCCCTTCTTCTTCCTTCTCCTTAACTTCCATCAATATTCGACAAAGTTTGCTCTCAAATATTTCACCACACCTGATCCCAGACCTGGACCTAGAATGATAGAGTCGTCTGGAACGACTTGTTAGTTCAAATTCCACTCACATGTCCTGTTTATTTTTCTCTCTCTCTCCAAAAGATCTAACTCAAGAGATAAATTCCTAGTTTTGAGTCGCTCATCTTTTCACGTCATCCATCTTCTCGAAGTTCCCCAAATTTTTTGAACTGCCCATCAATCATAAAATCAATAAATCCTTCTAGATTTCGTCGTATGACTACGCTTGAATTATCGCTTCTCACTTTTCTTCGTCATCCCTCCTCACTTTCTTATTCTTTACCCACCCCCCTTCATTTTATTTCAGGGCCGGCTCCTCAAAATCCGGAATGTGAGTTGAGTGTTCCAAAAGATGCAGAGCTTACATCGTCGGACGCTGTATTCCGCTTCAAATCGACGTCTACGGACCCAGATTGCCGTTATTCTCCTTGCTGGAGCACTATTCTTCCTTATTGTTCTACTTCCCTTTATCAAAACTGGTTGGTTTGAATCTTCAAACTCTTTTTATGACTATTTTCCACCTCCCAAACACCAAATCAACGAAGGAGCCTAATGTGGAATTTAGCCCCTTAGCTCAGAGTCAATTCTCCCAATATTGCGCATTTATACCGGAAGGAAATCAGCTTTCCTTTAATGACACATGACTCGTGTCCCAAATATTCTTTATTTGATTTTCAACGAATGTTCCAGATATTCCTAACGATATCTTGTCAGTGGATGAAAATGGAAGGTTGCGAAGAACACGACGATCCGTGGAGTACGAATTTGACGATTGTCGGCCAAGAATTCAAACGAGTGAGTACAAAAAGAGTTGAGAAGTGATGGGTGAAAGGGTCATGAATAATTTAGAAGGAAACGTCTTTTGAAAATGAGAACATTTTTAGAACAAGTGGCCATTAAAGTATGACGACAGAACAACACTTGTTGTTGAATACGACCATTTACAATTAAAGTTTTTTTGAGCATTTCTGCCATGCTGCCTACGTGACAAGTGTCCTGTCAAATATGTTGGATTTGGGACCCAGGCGCAGGATCCAAGAGTACATTTGTTCAGAGGGTACATAGGGTCTTGGGGTGTAAGACATTTTAGCCTATAATTTTGAGCAAGAAGCAGAATAGTCTGTTTAAAAAAGTTTGTTTTTTTCGTCCTTTCACATATACCACAAAATTTCATGTACCCTTGAAACCAAAGTACCCTAACGAAGAACTAGATGTACCTTTTTCTGATGTACGTTTTGATACTGGACCCAATTGCTAGGCAACATTCCCACCTTAGGAACGGTTGAAAACGCATCCTATATCTTATTCAAAACTCGTCCAACTTTTGCTATCATACTTGCCCAAACCAAGTCAAGGATTCCCACATCGTTACAATTCCCCCAAATTACAAGGGAGCTGTAAATCCAGTCCGAACAAATTTTTATATAAAAATAATTTCACATGAATGCTGAAAAGACAGTAGTTCCGGAATAAGTTGGCTAATGCTCGCTGAAGAATGCATGCACCATTTCTGAATAGTCATAAACAATTCATGTGCAGATTTTCTTGAGGAAAAGAAGTATCCATCACGTCACTTTCATCTGAAATCCAACATTTGAACACGTTCATCCTTTTTTAGCTTCAAATGGAAATTCATCTCAATTTCCCGCCGACTTCTTCTCTCTTGAAACTCGTCGTCGCGGAGGCGTTATCGTTCACATCGCCCTTCTGATCTACATGTTCGTGGCGCTTGCCGTTGTTTGTGACGAATTTTTCGTACCATCCTTGTCAGTTATTACTGAAGTGGTCAGTTGATCTTACTTTCAGGAACTATCTAACATCAAATATTTAGCTCTCGATATCAGATGACGTGGCTGGCGCAACATTCATGGCTGCCGGTGGGTCGGCTCCAGAATTTTTCACTTCACTCTTTGGAGTTTTCGTTGCGCAGGATAATGTGGGGGTTGGAACTATTGTAGGTAAGTACTAAAATAAACAAATATTAGGAGAATAGAACCCTCAATCAATTTTCTCAGGATCTGCCACATTCAACATCTTATGTGTTCTCGCTTTCTGTACACTTTTCTCTCGTCAAGTTTTGCATCTCACCTGGTGGCCTTTATTCCGTGACATGTCTTTTTATACACTGTCCCTTTTTCTTCTTTTGATATTTTTTGGAGACGAAGTCATCAAGTGGCATGAGGTGATTACATCGCATTTTAATGTACAAACCTCTGTAATTTCATAATTTCAGGCTTTAATAATGTTCTCCATTTACATTGCATATGGGTTCTTCATGAAATTCAATGGGTTCCTGGAGTTGAAAACTAAGCAATTCTTGTTTCGTAAAGTAGGAATCGGGAGTGAAGTTGTCCCAACAACTTCTGTAGAAGCGGCAGCTGGATGCACACCCCGAAGTCCCCATTCTCTGGGAGCACAAGGACCTCGAAGAAGTTTTCCCATGATTCACGGAGGACAGGAAGTCAGAAAAAGTATTGCTCAATTGGTAATTGGGGATGAGGACGATACTACTTCGTCTTCTTCGTCGTCAGAATCGGAGAGATCTATCAAACTGAAGCCAGTTGCCAATGGTGTTCCAGAGATTCGGCAAAACGGGAGAACTATCATGGTGAAGCCAGCTAATGACCCGGACTCGGCTTTCAATAATCAGAGTAATTCGAAACCCGTTTTAGAATTTTATGAGTGAGAATTATTCTAGATAGCATCACAACTAGTGTTCCTCCAATCGACTTTGGTGAGAGCCATATTATTGTCATCAATAATAACAACAACAATAAACGCAAAAATGGAAACAATGGAACTACTCATTTGACTCCAGTTGAAACAGTTAATCCATCGTCAAACGGACATCTTGAAGTTTTTCAGCCAAACGGAAACCCTGTTCCACCAATTGCACTGGATAATGTATACGGAAATAGTTGATTCTCCATTATTCAAAATGTATTTTTCAGCTTTCCGTGGCTTCTTCGACAGCTGAAAAACCATTGGATCTTTCTTGGCCAGAAGCCAATCATAAAAAAATCATTTACTTGTTCCTGGCCCCTATCACTTTTCCACTGGCTTATACTCTTCCTGATGTTCGAAAACCGGTAAGACTGACATAATTACTTTTTTCCCAACAAAAATTTGTCTTGCAGAAGCTTCGTAAATTCTTCGCCATCACATTTATTGGAGCGATTCTCTGGATTGCTGCCTACTCGTATTTGATGGTTTGGTGGGCCAATACGATTGGAGAAACATTCGGAATTCCAACCGAGATTATGGGATTGACTATTTTGGCAGCTGGTACCAGTATCCCCGATCTGATCACGAGTGTCATTGTCGCTAGAAAAGGGCTAGGCGACATGGCTGTATCCTCTTCAATCGGTTCTAATCTCTTCGATGTTTGTGTTGGTCTACCGATTCCTTGGCTTATCCATTTTCTGATTGGAGTTTTCAAATCAGAGCCAACTCAAAATAGTAAGACCTCGTACTCATCTGAATAAATCAGAAATTATTATTTTTCAGTTTCCGTGACTTCAAATGGTCTCGTCTGCTCTCTCGGATTACTATTCGCAATGCTGATTGTATTACTGACTTGTGTCGCTATTTCCAGATGGAAAATGGATAAATTCTTTGGGCTGTTAATGATTTTCTCGTACTGTGGTTTCTGTATGCTCTGTATTCTTCTTGAAACTGGACATTTGAAATGTCCCCTTAGAAACAGTTGTTAATCCTCTGAAGTAGATATTTCTCGAACATTCCAACCAATTTTCATATGTTACCCGGTTTTCAATATGCTTCCCCGTTTTTTCCAGACATTCATGAAAGTATCTTAAAAATTCCTACATGACTTTTTCCAATACATGACGTTTTCCAAAATCTTCCATTATTTTTTATTCAAAAATAGTAGATGTTATTACAAAAATATTGCCAAAACATGTGTGTCTGTCTGATTCCTTCCCGCTGAATAAACATAATGATAATACTTTTCTCTATTCTCTTCCATGTTTCGAAAAACAAAAAGAAACAGAAATTTACTAGACCACACCCAAAATATTTCTCCGGACACTTTCTGGTCAGGTCCAAAAAATTCAAAGTTACACAGAAGAAGTTCAAAGAGATCGAGAGACTCAGAACGAGTATTGTGTTGGAACTGACTTAATGCGTGGGAGAATACCATTTGCCTCCCTCTTCCGATTCTTTCGGTCACAACTCGTGTCCATTTTGTGTAATTTGAACCCTCTCCATCTCTTTTTTCTCTTCGCTATGACACTGATGTCTATTACCTTATAGCGCCTGCTTATTTGTTAAACTAGAGAGTGTATTGTGTGTATGTGTACAAAAAGAAAAGAATCTTATCAACTTATCACCAATCATTTGTAACACCACATCACACATAAATGCTCCAAGGATAGACCCTAAAAAAGGCAGTCCTTGCCTATTTATTTCAGTCACAAAAACTGTTTTTTCAATTCTTTTTCGAATCTTCTTTCCAAGCTCATCTATTGGAAACTCTTCAAACGATTATTTTTCTTCATTGTCGTTATCTTATCGTGTGGAGAGAAACTGCTCTTCGCAACAATTTTGGTGGTATACACAAAATGTTTATGGCCACCGTTTTATGGTGGCCTCTAGAACAAAATTTTGTGTCATCGAGGATCCGCTTGTGCCGTTTCGATAGGGTAACTCCCAAACTTCACGGGTAACTCCCACATCAGCTCCGATTAGGCCCCAAACCTCTCCCCAGAATTACCTGAGTATACAAGCACTAAGCCGGTTGATTCTTATTAAAGCTTGTAGAGCTTGCCGAGCTCTATCATCTGGTATGTTGTTTTGCCCACAATTTCAATTTTATCATCCGACCCGTCGACCAATATGAAAGAAATTGCTTTTTGTTTTATTTTATAAGAATTGATCACAAATGGTATTCCATAAACCTCCGCACTTTTCAAATCTGAAAATTGCATCAATGTTCAGAACTTTTGAACCTATTGTTTCTAGTTCAACCATTGAGAAAACTGATAATAGTTACGTTTATGTTTCGCGTATAAAACTGCTATCTGAAACTTTTTCGAGCCACACTTTTTTTTTCAGTTTTCACATAGAAACTAAATGTTAGTAGGCTTTCCGATTTCGCTAGATATCCAAACGAATCATTTTAAGCTCCATGCGTTCATACTAGATTGAAAGTGAATTATTGGTTCCCCTTTTCCAAATTAAATCAAAAGGAACATATAATTTGTTTAGGAGGGGCTTTTGGCTAAAGTATAAAACCCGACATCCTTTTTGAAAAACTTTAAAGTTGTGAGATTTCCTTTGTCTTATTCTCTTGAATCTAGATTTTCAGTGATGCTTATTGCAACATTCATTAGGTCAATACATCTTACTTTGTTTGCTATCTGTGTACTATTGTTTTTCTTTTCTCTTTCTCTATTTCCGATTGGTTAGACTCTCTTCGTCAGTTAGTACAAGTCGGAACACGTCTGTACTTGTTATTTGCTCGATGTCTGCATACTTTTCTTTTCAGTTCATCGAACTCATCGAAACGGCCCTCCAGAAGCCGGAGAATCAGATTCTGGAGTCGAAATGGCCATTTCAAAAATAAAATGGTTCTTTATTGTATTTGGTACGGTTTATTTTTTGGAATCAATCGGAGGATTTTATATGACAAGGTGGGTTTTGTTTTACTGATTTTGCGTTTTTCGATTTGTGTCAATCAGAACTTTTGAACCCATTTTTTTCTTATCGAAAAGAGATTTTTGTGAGGGCATTCAACAATAATAATAATAATAATAGGTTCTCAACTGACGATTATGCCTTCAGTTTTTCAGTCGTATGATAGAATATGATAACGGACACAAAACATGAAGTTTTCTGTGACTGGAGTGGATCTTTAAAGTTTAATTCGTGGTTGTAAATTGGAAATGGACAAATAATGAGTTTCCGAAATGGCGTATTTAGTATATAAAATTTTGGATAGGAACACAGAAAAAGGACTTAAACAAAAAATACTCTAAAATGATGCAACAAAAAAAAGATTTTCAGTGCAGTTGTATTCATCGAAAAACAATTTCAAATACCATCTCGTTTGAGTGGAACAATGGTATCAGCTGGTGACTTTGCCTACATTCCAGTCGTCATTTTCACAAGTTATTTCGGTGGAAAAGGAAATCGTGCTCGATGGATTGGAGCCGGCTGTATTCTGATTTCAATCGCCAACTTTATGATTGCCAGTAGTAATTTCTTGTTCCCAGTAGAACACGCGAATGTAACTACACATATTCCAAGTGCATTGGCTCATCAGATTGATAGGAATCTAGTGAATGGAGGTTTCAACTACACAGAGCATCAGTGGCTAGAGCAACTTCATCCATTAATTGATCCAGAGAACAAAGTTGTCATGAATTATGTAAGAAAAAAAAAGTTTTTTATTTATTTCGACCATAATATTTAGATAGGAGATGAAAAGTCGGACCTTCTTCAAAAATACATAGAATACTGTCATTATCATAAAGGGTCAGACATTTGTGCGAGACTCGAAAAGGAAATTGCTCAAAAGTTCCCAATGACTGATGCCAAAATGTCAAACGTCCGTGCCATGGTTGCCCTCCCTTACGGATTCTGTCATTCCATGCTCAATTTTGTACGATCTCAACACTATGCATGCAAGAAAGATCAATCAACATTGGGTCCATTTATGATGATTTTTGGAGGTCTTCTGGTTCTTGGAGTCGGACGAACTATGCCATTTTCTCTTGGGCTTCCACTGATGGACGATAATGTTAAAAAACAGAATCTTCCACTTTATTTTTGTTAGTTATTTCGCTTTCGGACAAGTATCGAAGTTCTTTTTTAGCATTCATGTTCTTCGTCAAAATTCTTGGTCCAGTCATTGGTCTTCTTGTTGGAGGGCAGTTGAACAAGTTGTATGTGGATTTCAATCGTCAGTTATTCTTCATTTTTAGTTACTAATGGAAACCAATAGGGTAACTAATACATTTTTAGCTACCCTATTGGTTTCCAGCTCCTCAAGGACTGACACCTCTGGACCCGATGTGGATCGGGTGCTGGTGGCTTGGATTCCTGATCTTTGGTACTCTTCTCTTTGGTCCATCGGTCGTTCTCTATTTCTTCCCATCTGACGATCTTGATATAAATGCTCCAGACGAGTTAGATGACGAGTGAGTCATAAAAATAAAAAAGATTCGAGAAATCTTTGTATTCAGAGGTAATGTGAAACAACGCAAGCGTCTGAATCTGGTGGATCGCCACATCAAAAAAGATGAGCAAGGAAATGCACTGATGCCAGAAACTGTTAAGGATAAAGTTAACGACTTCAAGGAAACAATCACAAATCTTATGAAAAATAAAATCTTCGTCGGTGCAATGTTCGGAAGAATCATTGACGTTTTGGCTTTCAAGGGATATTTTGTTTTTCAAGCGAAATACTTGGAACTTCAGTTCGGAGTTCCACAATACCGAATTCAGAGATACATTGCCAGTACTGGAATTGTCGGATTTGCATGCGGAGTTATGCTCGGAAGTGTTTCAATGAAATATTTCAAACTGCAAGGAAGAAAAGCAGCTGCTTGGGTCGCAGTCTGCAGTTTGGTTGCTGCTCTCATTTCATTTGCTAATGGAACCGTTGGATGTAAATCAGTTATTGGTCAAATCGGGGATCAAATAAAATTGAATGGACCAGTGTTTGATGGATGTAGAGATGATTGTATGTGTGAAAATGTTCCGTTGTATCCTGTATGTGATGTGAAGTGAGTGATTTCTTGTATTTCAAAACTGCTAATTCCTCTCTCAAAACTCCTAATTTAAACATTTGATTTCAGTGGAAATGCTCACTACTCTCCATGTCATGCCGGATGCGCAATGGGATGGAAAAACTACAGTATCTTTGACAATGCGAAGGCAAATGTGGACACGCTGATCTTCGAAAACTGTGCATGTGTCGAGAATAAAGTAAAGGAAGTCAGCAGATCGTACTGTAGAACTGGTTTGTTTCTTTTCATCGAGAACCCACACCAATCTAGACCTTTGTTTCAGATGAATGTGAAGAAAGATTCGGACGATTCTTCATGCATCAAGCATTTGGAGCAATCTTCGGTGGTCTCGGGGTGGTTCCAGGAATGTTGATTGTCCTGAGAGCAGTTCCCCCAGAGCATCGAAGTGTTTCTCTGGGATTCAATGGATTCCTTGTCAGTCTTCTGGCAACACTTCCATCTCCTATCATTTGGGGTAAAATCATTGATATGTCGTGTCTTCTTTGGCAAAAAGCATGCGACGCATCTGGATCATGTTCGGTTTATGACACTGATGAGTTAAGAGTCAGGTTCGTTTCTTCTATTCAGATTCGGTTTTGGAAATTGACTTTTTCAGACTGCACGTCATCTATGGGTGTCTTCGAATCTTCTCTCTCATATCTGACGTTTGGGTATGGTACTGGGCAAGTGGACTCAAACTGATTGAAGAGGAAACACCAGAAGAAAAAGAAAAAGAAGAAGCAGAGAAATTGAATCCAAAACGAAAGGAAAGTTTTAAAGAAGCTGCAGAGAAAGTGGAGAAAACTGCATACGAGTTGGATCAATTGATTGATCAACGAGGATCTTAATCAATGAGAAAATATTATTTATTCAGAAATACCCAATTTTAATTCTAGTGATCGTCCCCTTTCTCATATCTCATATTGTGCCTTGTTATGTGTTGTGTTCTCTCCTTTTCGTATCATTTTTTGTTGTTAGTAGCGGGTAAACTCTACTAGTCTGAACAACGACTTCATTTCATAAAATTATATTGATATGAAAAACGGAAAAAAATAGTAAAGCTGAGATTTGGGGGGAATTTAAAGAAACAGGAACGGATTCGATTTGGACTAGGAAGTGAGTGAGCGATGATGTACAAGTATAGCACGTAGAATACTAAAAATTTGGAGCAAGATCTTTAAAGTATTATACAACACGGATTCGGCTTCTCCTCTTCAAATTTGACGCCTACAGCCGCCAGAAAGCTTTCATCAAATACACGCTTCAAGCCTTTGTGGGTGAGGGCGGAGCACGAAAAAAATTTGTGACATCCTATCTGAAAAATTTCAAGTTTTGAACGGCATTTTTGACATCTGTTTACCTCTTGTGCCACCTTTTTAGCATAATCTTCTGTGACGACACTATGTAAATGTGCACCCTCCACAAGATCATTTTTCGTTCCAACAAGCATGATCGGGACATTATCACCGGCATATTTTCTGATTTCTGGTATCCAAATAGTTCTGCATGACTCCAATGTATTCTTATCGGTCATTGAAAAGCATACAAGAAAAATATTTGTGTGTGGATAGCTCAGACATCGAATCTTTTCGTAACTTCCCTGAAAAAGTACATTTCGGTTTTATTAGAACGGCTTGATTGACCCAATTCGGGAAGAGAGAAAACTCGAAAAGTTAATTGAAAGCAAACAATTCAAAGCTGTTTCTCTTTTCTTTCACACCTAAATTCCACACGAATTGTTTGAAAGAAATTCTGTTTGCTCATCTAATTAAATGGAAGGTGTTCGTAATCGTAATCCGAAAAAATATCGGTCACTGAATTGCATTTGAAGAAAAAATTGAAAGTCCATACCTGACCAGCAGTATCAAACAAGCTGACCGCATAACTTTTGTGATCAATGTGCACCGAAACCGCCCAATTGTCGAATACCGTAGTCGAATAGTTGTCGAGAAATTGTTTCTTCGTGTAGGCGACAAGAAGGCTGCAACACAGAGGAAACAAGATAACTGGTTTTATAGAAATAAAAATGATGAATGGGTAATTGAATGAAATCGGCAGGAGGAGAGGGATAAGTGTCGTTGCGCTTGATGTGACTTTAATCGAATTACTCAACGGATTTAGGCAATTTCTTGGGATTACAGTGAGAGAGAGAGGAAAGTTGATGGGGAGAATTACGGAAGTCGTTGTTTTATCATTATGGGTTTCGGAAAGGTAATAATGTGACTGTCAATCTTTTTTATGGTTTTTTTAGGGAAATTAAAGATGGATGGGTTGAAAGAAAATAAAAAGCTTTCGAAAACCTATAGGATGAAACAAAAGTTCAGGAAACAGAGTTTGAGCTCAATTATCCCGCTTCCTGTAAAAGATATCTAAAATGTGCGATATAATGTTTATGCTATTATGATCAAAAATTTATTAGTTGACAAACTTTTTATATCAAAAACCGAGATAAATAAGCTTAAAGTTAAAAGCTAGGGACCCTTTTATTTTTACGGTTTTCTATTTAACTCAATACATCTAATAGATTGCTGATTTTCGTAAAAAAATGTATTTATAAGTAGTCCAGTGTAAGTGTCAAATACACAAATCATTCGAAAAAAGTCTTCATTTTGTAATTTGAGGCTAAAATAAATATTGGCTTCCAGAAAATATCAGAAAACAGCTTCTTCTAATTTTGTGTGGAGGAACAATAATTGTAGGAAACGTAAAGAAATCCAGGAACATCAAGGAGCCATTTCTAATTATTTAGGTAAAATTGGTCCTAATTATTTTGATTTCAGGTTCTAAAATTAGAGAACCAAACTTTCAGTTAATTTGGTAATAAGTTTCAAATCTCAGGCAGAAGTTTCAGAGTACTCAGATTCCAGCATCATTGAAACAAGAGGGAAATTTTTAAAAAATACTCACCTAGTTTTACCAGTGAACGTATCCCCCACGACAACCAATTTCAGTTTGTTCTCCATTGATTCTTCAAACGAATAAACAGATTCTTGTTTCTCTGATTATTCCTCCACCTCTTTCTTCTTCTTCTTCCAGAGGCGTTGTCTTCGTTGAGGTTTTGCACAAAAAATGAATGGATGGTTGTGTGGTGTTATCGGCGCCCCGTGTCTCTGTCGGGGCGCATATTATCATTTGAGGTGACTGAGATTCGGAGAGAAAGTGACGGAGAGGGCAGGAGGGTATCTGAATATGGAAATTTCCAGAATTATGGATTATAAGGGGAAGAGGTCGGTTGGGTTCTTGTTTTGTATCAGGAAGAGAAACATAGAGAAGTAAACAAAACCGAAAATGACGGAACGGAAAAAAAAGAAGAAGTAGAAGTAAAAGTAGAGGAACCGAAGAATCGAAGAACGTAGGCTAGGAAGGGAACGCAAGGCGTTTCGAATGCATACTGCTAGTGGTGGTGGTGGCGGTGCGCGGCCGCAAATATTTATTTGTACAATAGCCAAGAAACACGCGCGTGGTGAGACCTGACGGGAAGAAAACACGGGAACCATTCAAGAGACGCAGAATTAGACGGAAAAGGTGCAGCTGATAGGGAAAAGGTTGGGAGGAAGAACATCAGGCAGAAGGAGGGTTTTGAAGTGTTCTTTCAGTAATTAGAAGGAACACAGAGGAGGAATTGTGGTTTACGAGTGGAACAACTGGACAGAATTACAAACTGGCAAGAAGAAAAGAGACGGAGAAGTGAGAACTTTTATATTTTTGAACATTTGGTGGCGGTCGACGACGAGGAGTCACTTTGTTTCAGAACATTCAAAATGAAAATCGTATAGTTGGAGACATCGTATAGATTCGGAACATGCATCCTATGTAAGAATACTATTTGTAGTAGTTTCAAAAGAGGAGATACCGTAAAACCTCTAATAGAACGACACCCGGATCGTCCACTTTGAGCCTATCATTTTCTGTGAAAGATATCAAAAAGTGGCTAACTAGTAAAATGTTGTTGGTATCCTGATAAACATTTTATTAGTTGACAACTTTTTGATATCTTTCAAAAGAAGTGAGATATATAGGCTCAAAGTGGACGATTCGGGTGTCGTTCTATTAGAGTTTTACGGTAGTTACAGTAATTCAATTCAAGAAACATACTACTGTAACCTGAAACTATCAATGATTTTGATTGTGAAACATTCTTCATGAAAAAAATTCAGATAGTTATTCTGATGGAATTGTGGTAGATTTCAGGATGGAAATGTTAAGAAGAGTCTTGATTAGTAACGTCTCCCCCGTCTGGAAGATGTCCGGAATGACTTTTTCGAGAAACTGAATCTGGAATAAAATAATTATCTAGAAATCCAAAATATCGAACGAAAAAAGTGCGGAATCCGGAATTCGGACATCTTCAGTGTGCATAATAATTCTAAAAACACGTATGATGCTTAACTTTTGCTTCATGAGTAGCAGAAATTTCATAACAGTTCTCGCAGCAGATAATTCTTGCAGATCAACATATTTGCTGAAAATTCGTAAAAAATAAAATTCGGATCTGGAATTTGGAATAGGTGATTTTTCTCGGAATCCGGAATTTCGAATCCGGACAAAAACATATCCTCGGAATAGGGAATCTGGAATCCGGAATGAAAAAAACATTGAATCCTGAAATCTGTTGTCTTCGCCCTGGAGTAAGCCATAGTTCAATCCAAATCAAAATCTTCATATATTTTTTCCTATGATAACTCTCAAAACTATCATTATTCGAATTCCATTTCAACAGTGTACCTTATCGACAAAGATTTTCCGATTTTGTCGACAAATTTACCTGACAAATTATCGATAAATTTGTCGAAAAAAAACGATAAAATTTTGTCGATAAATTGTCGACAAATTATCGGTAAATTTGTCGAAAGTAATTTATCGGCAAATTTATCGGCAAAATTTTGTTGACAAATTGTCGATAAATTTGTCGTTTTTTTGTCGATAAATTTGTCGAAGGGGACATTTGTCGACAAATTATCAAAAATTTGCTGATAACCGCCGGAATAACTTGTAAAAAATCTCATCTTTTTTTCTAGGCCATCTGACCTGGTGGCCTAATTTTTTCAACATGAATTTTCTAGGCCACCAAACTTTTTGACGTGAAAATGATCTGATGTTAACATGGTGTGTTTGTAAGCCATTTTAACATGGTGGTTTAACTTTTGCAATATGAGTTTTCTAGGCCACCAATCTTTTTGACCTAGAAATGGTCAGAAATTCACCTGGTATGTTTTCTAGGCCATTTTTACATAGTTGCTTAGAAAAATCAAAGCGCGAAAGTTAGGCCACCATGTTAAAATGACCAAAAAACACACCAGGTGAACATCAGATCATTTCTAGGCTGAAAAGAATCGTGACCTAGAAAATTCATGTTGTGAAAGTTGGGCCACCAAGCCAGATAGCCTATAAAGTTTGCCTGGGTAGGTTCTTCCATCATTCTAGACGTCCTAGGAAAAATGGTAACGATATGATTTTTTACAAGTAATTCAGGCGGTTAATAGCAATTTTTGTCGATAAATTTGTCGATAAATTGTCGACAAGCAGCATTTTTATCGACAAATTTATCGAAAACTTGAATTTTTTTTAATAAAAAAAAACTTGAATTTTTTTTATATAAATTTTGTTTTTATCGACAATTTCTCGGTAATTTTTCGATAAATTTGTCGAAAAGGGCGTTTGTCGACAAATCATTTGTCGATAAGGCACACTGCATTTCAGTGACATTTTTATGACTTTTGTGGCATCGTATGACGAAAAAAAATAACAGATTGGTCATATATTTCGAAATTAGGTAACTGATAACTATGACCAGCTAAAAAATTAAAAATTAATTTGATCTGGAATATTCGACTTCATCTTATTAATTAGGAACAGAAACGATTACGAAAGAAATTCGATTATGACCAATCAAAATACACAACTTTTCAGTAAACGATTTTTTGAAATACCAAAAATGATGAATTGAATAAACTACAATTTGGGAGGTTTGAAGAATGAAGAGCTGTGTCATTTCCCACCAACAAATCCACTTGTCAAACAATTGTCGGACTGTCTGTTTCCACCCTCTCTAACCCAAAAAAAGTCAGGTTGGAGTGTATACATGTATTTTGAATGTAATTGAGAACACATTGAAACATTGATTCTTTTATTGGACATGTATGTGCGCAGAGAGGGGAAAAAGTTGGAGACCAAAATACAGAAAGAGGAAAAACAGTATGAGAAACAAACAGGTCTGATACATTTCAAAATAGAAAAGTCTGCACTTTTTATCACAGTTTTTGGAATTTTTGGAAGGGTAAAGGAGAGGAAGAAAAACACGTTAGACGTCGAGAAATTGTACCCAGGAAGAAAAGAAAGAAGTGTAAAGGGATGAAAAGGAATGTACCACGTAAAGCAGTACGGTATCTCGGATTGGATTGGAAATTGAGTCGGGAGAAGAAAACATTCGGGATTGAAATATATACAAGTTGGAAAAGTTGATTGGGGATGGAAGAGGAAATTTTAAAATTAACCCGTTGTATACTTGGATGGAGGTGACGAAATACAGAAAAAGGTAAACATGGATGTCTTCAGATAATGTATTCTGGATTATCCGTTGGTGGTGGTGGAAGATCGTCTTCATCCAGATCTTGATCACTGCTTGTGGAGCTACGACGCTGGTTGGATCTCTCTGATCGGTAATCATCGGAAAGCGATTGAATACTGTTTCTTCGTTCATGATGATGATGGTGGTGACGAGATTGAAGTGTGGACAAGGAGACACCTGAAATTTTCACAATGAGAGTTTTCTAATTTTTCAGTTTTATGGATTTTTTTTCCTAATCCATTCCAAGCTACAATAAGCTAGTCAAGTTACAATATTTCTACAGTAGACTGGGAATACAGAACTGAAAGTATTCAATCAGCCATGCGCCATTCCTCTATTTCGTTAGACTAGGAGTAAGCATTCACAAAAGCATATCTTACCGGAGTCTGTAGAATCCGGATGAGCCAAAGAAGACGTGGATTGGTAGTCGTTGCACGAGTCTACTGAAATCACAACAAACACATTTCAAGCAAAAAAAACTCATGCACGAGATGTCTAATTTAGCAGTTCCTAGTGTCTCATTATTTTTACCTCTGTCTTCAGACGCTGCAGATATGATAGTTGGGTCAGAAGACGTGGATGGGAACATACGAAGATCGAGTTTGTGCAGTTCGTGAGTGCTTGGAGCCTTCTTGGGTCTAGGGGGAACGTCGAGTTCATCAGAATCCGGAGGAGAGCTCGTTGGATCGTTTTCTTTCTTTGATGTACACGCCCCATCTCCTTCTTTTCCTTTAGTCAATGCCATATCTCTCTCTGATTTATCCATGTACCAAATGGTGATGGCAAATCTGTGACGATACACTGGCATGACTTCGTGTGGGTTCCTACGGTCCGACCAGAAAAATACAAGACGATCCGCACGTGGATCAATGTCCATTGGAGTTCTCGATGTTTCTGGATAAAGCCTGAGTGTTCCTCCGTCTTTAGTCATATCCCAGTTTTCATTACAATAATAGATGGTAGTGACACATCTGCCATCTTTAACTGGATTATCCACATGTTTCACATATCTAGTTCCGTTTCCTGGATAGATAGCAAGCATTGCTCGAGAACGTCCTCCGATGTTATGGTCGATCCGTTTTTTGAAATGTTGGATCACAGAATCGATCATTGAGATGAGCAATCGAACTGTGGCAGCATCCTTAGCACGTGTATCACGTCCATCGTACCAGTAAATATGGTCGGATCGAATATCCTTGATGTGACTCTCGTCCTTATTCTTTCCTTCCATCACTTGTCCAGGACCGAACAATCCTCTTTCGTAAAGACGCTCGATCTCTCTGAAATTAAGACGTGTTGACTGTATTTTCAGGATTTCTGATTCTTAGAAAAACTTTGTCTAGACTCTTCAGTAGTAATGTTAGAAACTTTAACATAGCTTTTTGATATTTTCTACCATGACTTTATGAATTTTCTCTCTTATTCGCTTCTTCCGATTCTCTACTTCACGCGATCAGCTGTGATGCACAATTCATGAGAATGACGAGTTTACGTGCGAATACAACACATCTGCTTCGCTTGTTTACCTCCCATCGTAACCGACTGAATCACTACTTCCCGCTATTTAGATACTCACTTAGCTGTGTATTTGTAGTGATCCGAACCCAGAAAATTGTCAACAACTGCCCATCCGAATTCATTGAGACTTCTGATCACATGTTCGGCGATATACTGTAAAATATACAGGTTACGGTATATTATGTATTTCAGTCCAGAGTGGGATACTGTAGTGGGATACTGTGGATACTCACCCTCAATCTCATAACCATAGCTTGATGAAGATTGACTACCAATCCCCTACTCTGAAGGTGTCTCTGATGTTCTTGTAGGGTGGTCTGCAATAAAAGGAAGGTTTCTCTACTTTCTCTCTCACTCATTCTCTTTCTAAGATGAAGTTCGTTTTGGGAAGGCAAAACCGTGGCCGTGTGGCCTAATGGATAAGGCGTCGGTCTCCTAAACCGAAGACTGCAGGTTCGAGTCCTGCCTCGGTCGAATGTTTTTTGGAAATTTTTCACTTACTGAATAGACAACATTCTTGTTGTGATCCTTGTAGACGATCTTAGGGTCAGCTGTACTGGTTGGTGTGGGTCTTTTGCGTGGCTTTGGAGCAGATGAAGTTCCGTCTGTTTCAATGATCTGAAAGTGCAAATTGTAATTACTCAGGTGAGAAGGAAAAGTGGGCAAGAGATAGACTAGTTTACAATTTCCTGGTGTTTTTTCAAAGATCACAACACAGATTCAATTGGCTCAATAGCAACACCTGTTCCTGTTAAACTTGCAAACGGACTAAGCGGATGTTTGGTTGAAGAAATGTTATGTTCTTTGTACATATTCCGAACTGATCTGATTGATCGAATACTCATACCAATGATTTTCTTCCCGTTGGGTATGGCTGCCATCGATGGTGTGAAGACATTAGGGAGTGACTACAGTAGGCAGAAGGTGCTGCGATTGTTCGCAGTGGCATATCTGGAGATACGATGAACTGAATGGGAGGAAAAACGAGAAAAAACGGACTATCTGACTAGGAAAAAAATAGGAAATTTATGTTGCCATTGATAGACGGCTGAAATGGGAAAACAGTAGAAGAAGCGGTAGATGATTCGAACGATGGGAAAGATGTGAAAAAGGAGAAAAAAGAAGAAAATGGTGGTGACCGGGCGGTCGTAGTCGTCGGGGAGGAGACCGAAACATTGACTACGTGCGCACGATTCATCGTGTTTTGCACGTTTGGTGCGAAGGGACCGCCGTTTGGTAAGGGAGTACGGTTTGGAAAAACAAGGATGAGGAATCGGAGGACACAATCAGTGCAAAAAATGGATCGGAGGAAAATTCATGTAAGATGGGTGATCAAGACGATAGATAAAGGTTGGGACTGTAGAAGAAATTAAAGGAGATTCTAGTTTAAGAACGGGAAAAATTGGGATTATGAGCACGAGGAACCATAACTTCAGAAATTCAAAACCATGGAGAATGAGCTCAGATCATAAAGAGAGGCTATTTTTGCTGTGGAAAGAAAAGCGAATGGAATGAACTGGCAAAATATTTGTTTTTCTATTCTTTGTTTGCCCTTTTTTTGTGTTATCCGGTTCGGTCCAGACAGAGCCAAAAGGCAAGTTATCATGAAAAGAACAAGAACGATGTAAATTAAAACTAAGAGGAGAATTCTGTGAAATGTTTATAGGAATGAGCAACGGTTGAGTTTGTGTGCGTGATGAGGAGAAGCGGGTGAATTCAGCAAAACGTGCCAAAATCGAGAATTGAAAATGCGAAATTTTCTGCAACCTAGAGGAAAAAAGGGGAGGCGGAGAAAAAAGAAAACGGTGCTGATAACAATAAATGTGTGATAAATGCACAGTGTTGATCTGCACGTCGTCGCCTTTCAACCAGTGGTCTTTTAACTACCGTAATCTGAATTTATTTTAAGACACTTTTTAAGACACATGCGACTCGATTATCGAGTTTTCAGATAAATATCTTCTTTTACTCGTTCTTTTTCTGTTTTTTCCAGTCGCGTGTTGAGATGAATTCCCATGCTTGTGTTGATGTGAATTTCCGGCTTCTCGCTCTTCTTCAGGCCTACGTGACATTCGCCTCATATTTTGTTGAGTAGACATTCACACGAGGAAAGACGCCGTTCCTCGTTTACTCGACTCTCGGGCAGGGAAAATGAAAAAAGCGAAGGGAGGAGGAAGGATTCCGAAGGGCTGGACGATGGGAAGAGATCGAAAAGTTATTGGAAGATGAGGGTGGAGGAGGGAGAAGAGAGCTACGTGAACTTTGTCACTTTTTGTGGAAGTAGATGAAAATGAAAGTGAGAAGAAGAGGAAGAAGAAGAAGACGAGTCTAATGAGTGAGCACCAATATATCTTGGCTGTGCCAGGGAAAGAACAATGCATCGAAAAAAAAACTAATGGGTGGAATCGGATGAGATAAGAGGATCAGAGATCTGGCACAAGGGCTACGGTGGGATCACCGAGACACCAGGAAGCTTGACGTTCAGTTCCAGTTCATCAAAACCTATTCAGCTCGTACAACATCGTCTAAGAATGTATTCTTTGAAAAACCCTAAAAGAACGTAATAACACATTGTCTACGTTCAAACAAATGTTGTTTCCATATGTCACCTGATTTATTGTCTACAACCCATTCGATCCTTTTGAACTCATGATACTCCCCTTCTATGCCTGACCCTACCACACCCCAATCGGACGAGTATCAACATTACACAAATTGGTTGCTATTTTTCCTGGTTTCCTCCTTCGTCGTCGTCGTTGTATAATTACTAAAAAAGAGCACAAAACGGCAACGGAAGCCGATTTATTTTGGTTTTGTGTGAGGCACAGAGTGGCTTGGCCAAACTGCCATTTTCCGAAGCATTCCGCCCGCCACTCCCTTTTCACAAATCACGTAAAATTCGGGAGGGCTCGAAGAATCTGCACGTTGGCATGAGCCTATTTACGGACATTTTCCGTAATGGGAGCCAATAAAAAAGTGTTGTGACCTTTCGGAATAGGAATAGCACTAAACGAAAGTTTAAAGAAAAACTTACCTGGATATCTGGATCATCAGTTGGTATGAGTCTCTCTCCTCCAATCATCATTGGCTCATCGGCGGCCGTCGGAACGGCGAGGGATACTGTAGACGGATGGACTAGTGGGGCAAGAGAAGCGCCGGAATCTCCAGCTAGACTCAAAACTTGAGCTGAAATTCGAAATGTTTGATTGAATTTCTGAAAGAACAGTATACCTAATTGATTAAGGTCGCTTTGTGCAGTACTGCTTGCTGATAAAAGAGCCAAAGAAGCCGATGACAGACGTTCTAGCGATGCTTCATGGGACATGGATGAAACCGATTCTGATGAGAGGGAATTGAAGACGTTGGTATTCCTATACGGTTTGAAGGCACTTCCTAGACTACTAAATGATATTGCGGGTGCTGGGTTCTCTATCCTTTGTGGTATTTGAGTTGGAATAACTGGTTCTGGTTCTGGATTCGTTAAAATTGAGAACGTTGGTTGAAAATTTGGCACCGGTTGACTAATGATTGGATTATGTTGTAATGATAGAAGGAGTGATGTTGTGAGTGCAGAATCATCAAAAGTAACGGATGGAGGTACTGGGGCAAGAGAGGCAGGTATTGGCTGAGGAATCGGATTACTCGGTACCATCCCTCGAGTTTGTAATGACTTGCATATCATTTTGTGGGTGACCCAGTCGATTCTCTAAAAAAATTATGAAAGGATTGTGAACAGATTTAATGGGTGAATAACTTTTTTGAATTTACGAATTTTCAGAGTTTCTGAGCATGGGCATAGATTATAGTTTCTTGTTGTCTGTGGATATTTTTGCGAAAAATGATTTTTTCTACTTTTTCATTTCCTCTGGAACATTGAAAACATGAAAAAAAAATTCTCAGCAAGAGAAGCATGGGAAAAAAACAATGAAATGTTAGGATATTTTTAGACTACGAGCCAATGCTTGTTTTTATACAAATAAACACAGACACCTCATCATGTCCGTCGAATACTTCTTCTCTTCTTTACTCTTGAAAATCGCCCGATTTTGCCTACGTGATATTAGCGATGTTTTAATTTGCGCAACGGTGTGGCAGAATTTCGGGGGAATTACATAAACGGAAAAAAGGTGCGATCTGAGTCGTTGGCTGAGCATAAATCAGAATATTTATGAGAGAGGAAAGACCTTTCTCAAAGTTTATTTTGTTCTTTGTCACATGGCATTATAGAGTATCAAACTCAACCAGGAACAGAAAAAATGTATACAAAGTGGAACAAAATATAACTTTTGGCTTCGTGCCACTTTTTCTCGATTCCTGTCAAAGATATAAAAAAGTTGTCAACTGATAAACTGTTTATCATAATATCAGAAGTGTTTTGCCACTTGACACATTTTTGATATCTTGCATAGGAGTCAAGAAAAATTAACTGAAACTTGACTGTATTTAGAGGGCCTTCTATTACAGACTTTAACCAGATAATTTCAGAAGACTGTCAGTTTGTCATTGAATTGCTCGGAAAGTTAGTATGCTACTAGCAGGAAACCTCTGGAAGTAGGAAGTTTGTTTCTAAAAAGCTCATTTCGTGGAGTGCTCATATTTCATGGATTACTGTAGATTCTATCAATTATAATCCCCTGGCTCATCTCAGCTTTCTTTCCATGTAATTAAACTGTAACTTTTTACTTTCTTAAATTGTTTTCCTATTGTGTTCGATGTTTTTCGAAATAAACAAAGCGCCGGGGATCTGTCTTTTTGTCTGCGCGTATTTATTCTTCTTCTGTTTTCTGAACAAGCATCCGCTGGGCAGCCAGCCAGTCAAAATGTTTGAAACAACACGTTCTCGCGCAATATGCAGGTTTGCTCAACGAGTTGTCAGAATATTTTCAGATGATCAAAAATCGAAATGAGTAATAAACAAGGAACTAGAATCAAGAAAAGCTATAAAGAATGGATCAGAATGACCAACAACTTTCGAATAGCTGTTCCATGAGAATAGGGAGTAAACGTGCGAACACTTGTTTTTCTAATCAGTGAGAATCGTTTGTTTATCATCTGGACACCACCCAACTAACCTGATGCTCCTTGGAGCAATAGGACACTGTTCCACAGAAAAGACATGTCTGCAATTGATTGGGTGAAAAAGAGCTTCCACAGTATGAACATTGTAGGATTGTGGAAGAAGATGATGGCAGCATCTGGAAAGAAGATTCCTCTAGAATACATTGTCCGAAATTATAAAATCATCAGTATAATTTTCGATGATAAATCCCCCACTTTTTAATCTACATTCAACTTTGACTCCACTTATTTTGATCGCTGTAAAAGATACCAAGAAGTGAACAGACAAAGTATTGTTGATTTTATGATGAACATTTTGCCAGTTGACCATTTTTTTTTTATATTTCACAGAAAATGCGATATATGAGCTCGAAGTTGAAAGGGACGTTCTATTAGGGTCCTTAGGTGATAGAAGAACAGAAAAATTTATAGAAACTGACCAGTGAAGCGAAAAGTGATGAAGTAGAAGACGTTGCTCCCTCATTGATTTTTGTACCTCCTGTATCACCAAGTGAGGCGATGCTCATGACATGTGCTGCAACTGTGGACACTTGTGTGTGTGTTTTAATCAGGGTCAGAGAGAAAGAAAGATGGAAGGTATAGGTAGAATAACAGAAAAAGTAGGTGAACGTGACAAAATGAACGACGTGACAGTGATTGTTTGCATTTTTTCCTCTTGTGTGCTCTTCTCTCGCTGACTCTTTTTTTCTCCAATTTCTTATCATCGAAAAATTATCTCCATCTTAGTGATCGATTTGCACGTCGTCGTTTTTAACATTAAAAAAGGGTCACGACCAAGAGAGAAATAGTATGAAGTAAATAATGTTAGAACTGTAATGATAAAAAAGGAAAAATTTATGGGAGTGATTCTGATTAGGATTTAATTACTTCAGTTCAAAGATTTGATTTTTGTTACAAGAAGAGTGATGATGACAAAAGTTGATTTCGATCAAGAAAACAGAAAATAACCTCTTCTTCTCTATTATTCAAATGAAATTCAGAAAATGTCGGCATAGAAAACAACAAATGGTTTTTTTTTGCAGACAACAGAAATCACGAGGGATTATACCAGTAGGAGACTGGAGAGAATAGTACGAATGTTTTTGGCAAACTGTTTAACACAAAAAAAGAATCGATTAAGTGACCTTCTGAAGACGTCTAGATGATAAAATGATACTGAACTCACATGAAAAAAGAGCAAGGATCAATTAGAAATTATTGGGAAATTATTTGAGAACTTTGTAGTTAGATCAAAATCATGCGGTCCGTTTTCCGGAACCACTTATATTTTTCAAGTGTCCTTCGCGGGTGAATTATAAAAAATGAGTGGAAAACGTTCTAAATAGAAAGGGGGTTATTCCTCAGATAAGTAGGTTACCGGGAATTTCAGAAAAAATATTTTTTACAAGATCAGAATCATATGACATATATATATATATATATATATATATATATATATATATCGAACGGCAAGTTGCTTGCTAATCAAGTTTGATTGAAAATCATCACATGGTCACGACGACATCAAATTGTCATCAGATTTCTTTCTACTTTTTTTTTGTGACAACACAAAATGTTGCCATTTATTCAAGAGGTTGTTTGGTGTCAAAACACTAGTCTTCTCAGTTCAGAAGTGATGGACGAGGAACGTGTTACGTCAGATGGGACGCACTTTTTTACACTCCCCACACCTCAAGAAATTGGAGGAAAAAGAAGAAATGAGAAGATAAAAGTGTAGAGGACAAGGGAAAAAGTTGGAGAATAGAAAGTCAGACGGGTGCACTCTTTCTTTACAAAAACGATCATCGACATATTTCGTTCCCGGCCTATTCCAAAGATCACTCTCATTCTTTATGGGCAGAAAAAAGGGAGACGAGGAAAAGTATAAGAGTGATTAGGGCTTCAAAAATACATATGAATATTTAATTAAGCAACTAATGGCTCTTGGGATTCACAAATCAAAATCGAAATAAGCTTCTGACTTGGAATAAAGAACTTTTGGGGGTTCAAAAAGCTTCTAATTAGAGGAGCGTAGAAAAAAAGACTGAAGGGTGCGCGGGGAATGACGAAAAGAGATCTTTCCTCTTTCAATTCTCTCTTTCTTCATCTCATTCTTTTCTTCTCACGCACATACCACATAGGAAAGGAAAATGAAAGAGGGCTACAGAGAGATAGAGAGAACCACATACTGTCTACGTGCGCAAACGAAAAATGGATAAGATAGTATGAGACGGAGAGAAGGGAATCGGGAAGAGATCGGAGACGCAGCAGGAGCAAGGAACGTGAAAAGCGCACGCTCACATGCCCGCGCATTCTGCTTCTCCATCCGACGCTTCACTATTTCGAATTCAGCAAAAGGTGTGAAGAGATTCGGAAGGAATGGTCTTTGAGTTCTCCGGATGATGCAAATTTTTTATCTTTATATTTCAAACTTGCTACTGATTTCTCAGTCAACAACAGCTGAGGAATAAGAAGAACTAGAACTAGGTTATAGGTGCAGCAAAAACATTCTGCATCTAAAAGAAGACGGCGTTCGATAGACAGAAAAAAGGAACAGGATAAAGAAAATTAGACGAGGTTTGAAGAATGACGTAGGAGGGAGAAGAGAGGTAGAGAATTGAGGAAAACATTAATCAAGATAAGAATCAAATAAATGTGACCCCTTCGTGTTAGCAGTTTTTTATTAAATTGAGAACATTTCAAATAGCTTCGAAACTGGGTCATCTTGAAATTTTAAATTATAAAATATGATAGAAAAAATGTTTTTACCCTATGAAATTCAAATTGGTCTATATTTAAATGTTGAACATTCGATTATTTATAACCGGAAGAATATTCTAAACACTATCAAATCGGCTTGAAGTATGACGAAAAATTCAAGAAAATCCTTGTTTTTTTTTCTTCTTCTGAATTTGTTTTTCTGAGAAACATTAAAAATTAATCCGTTTTTAAAAGACCAGAATGAAAACCCTAAACTCCTGAACTCATATGACTAAAACCTAAACTCCTGAACTCATATGACACATAGGCATATCCAGAATTAAAGTTTTCACGAGTTCTAGGAAACTGCATCTGCCATTACTAAGCTAGTAGTCGTAGAATCCATCCCCTGCTGTTTTTCAAAATGGGTTGAAGGCTGTTCATTATAAATTAATGAACTTTTTTCTCAGAACGAATTCTACTATGTGAGGTTTCCAACACATGAAAAAATTAATTAGACTGAAAGCATAGGAGGCGTAGTAGGTTCCTTCTTACTAGAGTGTAGCTGACTTTCGTTTAAAAAATTGAATCACTGGTGAAATGCCAATTCTTCTTGCGAATGGCTTCAGCTCATGAGAACCTTCCGATAAGTGACTTAATTTATGTGAGCATGCTACTAAATCTTCAATGATGACGTGCATCATATTTCTAAGAGTTTATTTTTTCTTTTCGAAGTTCAAGAAGCACAAGAGAGAATCCAGCCAGCCACCAAGAATAAACATATTTGCACATGTTAACAAGAGCGCATTCAGAATTCCCACGTGTTTCTTAGAAGACGTCACATTTGTCACAGAGAACTTTTTGTTTCAAGAGCAGCTGGGTGGAACGTGGGAGTTTGAAGAATACTTCTTAGCCTGCAGAAGGGCTCACTAACTGTAAACGTCAACGAAAACATTTTTCGATACCAAAGTATGAATTCGGGAAAAGATAGAGGTTAGGGGCCTTGCATTCCAGAGTTTACGATATCACAGAAATCGGGCATCGCCGGCAACTTCTTGTCCGAGGTTGCTCAGATTCGACCAAAATCTGATCATGGCTCGCTATACAGCCGCTTTTGGGCAACTTTCGACCAGAAGTTACAAGCCGACAGTTTTCCTTTAAGAAAATAATCAGTTCTTTAAAAAAACCTTTTTATAATTTGAAACTCATATCTGAACCAGCTGAATAACATTTTATGAACATTTTGGAATCACATCCCCTTCTAGACAAATCATTTATCTTACCAGATAACCTGCTTAGAAGTTATGATTATCTTGGTTCCATTAGAAAATCAATGCTTTCAAAGGTTTTTCTGATCTCGAGAACTATCAATGTTTTCTACAAAATTATATATATTTTGACATGTTTAACATCTTCTGTTTTATTTATTGCCTTGTTTGTTACTTGGAATGTAACTAACGATTGAACATTTTTCTCCAGATCAAAAGTCGTATTCCTTCTTTTAGTTGATAATAAAGAAAAAAGTGATTTTTTGGTTTTCCAGCTACATTCTATCCCGTTACTCATCAAGAAACACAAAAAAAAACGAAAAAAAATAGGCGACGCATAGTAAAGGAGTAAGAGGGAAAAGGGCAAAAGAAGAAGAAGAAGAAGAAGAAGAAGAAGAAGAAGAAGAAGAAGAAGAAGAAGAAGAAGAAGAAGAAGAAGAAGAAGAAGAAGAAGAAGAAGAAGAAGAAGAAGAAGAAGAAGAAGCAAATGGTTGGAATCGCGTGAAACTTGGCTTTTTGGCTTCTCCTGGAAATGAATAAGGAAGTATCAAATGTTTAGGAAACAAATTCACAAAACGAAACAAAACAATCAATGCTCTCTGATCATCCTTTTGCAAATCTTGTTCTTCGTCAACCCCGTTTTGCAATAAAAAATATAATTGTGTCTAGAGGAGCGCATCGGCGTGAGGCAACAAATTTATTCGGATTTCGAGAGTTGTCATAGTTTAAAAAAAAGAATATGCACAAAAATATAAAGAATTGAATACAAATTGGTTTCGTTTAAAAAAAAGGTGTATCGAAAAAAAAGTACCCGTTTAGGACAAAATCGAGCTATCAATGGAAACAGAAAAATCAGATAAGATTTCGTGTACGAGTGATGAATTTGGCAACTCTTTCTTTTAGTTTCGACGATTTTGTGTAGAAATTCGATCGCTTCTCTCTGCTTTTCTTCCCCTCGAGTCCGGCCAGAATCGCCGAGTCGAACATCTGGAACCAATTAATTACAATTTCCCAAACCCTAGTTTTATAAAATCTCCAAACCTCTTTTAAGTTGTGTTGAGTCAATGCAGAACACTCGAAGAATTCCGCTCCGATTTTCTCGGCCAGCGCCTTTCCACGTAGTTGAGTTACAGTATTTCCGCGGATTTGCCACCTCTGATCAGCTTGTGTTCCCACCAGAATCACTGAAGATTTCAAGTCTCTTTAGAGCCTCTAAATGAGAAACATGCTTACGTTTGGTTCCAGGATTTTTCTTTGTGACTTCCGGATACCAATGATGTGACACGTCTTCAAACGATTGTAAATCGACGACTGAATAAACAATGACGAAGACGTCGGCATCTGTGTAGCATAGAGGGCGAAGAGTATCGAATGAAGACTGGAAAAGGATTTTCATTTCAATTGAAGGAGACTAGTAGGGTTTTTGGGAAACTGCAAGGGAAAGTCAAATTTAAATATGGAAGAGTACAGAAATTTATTATATTGGCTTACTCAAAAGCGGTTCAGTATTCAAGGGTACATCAATAAAGGGTGAATATACTTCTCGGGGTACATTGGTTCCAAAAGTACATGGAATTTTGTGGTGCAAATTTGTGGTGCAATTGTGCGAATTTTGTGGTGTGGGGGACAAAAAGAAAAACAGAGGAATTTTACGGGCTATTTCGTTTTTTGATCATAATTCTGAACCAATGTACTCTAGATATACCCTTTTCTGCTGTACCCTTGTATCCTGGGCTCTCAAAAGCTGACATAACTCAAATCAGATCATGTAGAAGACCTATCGTAACACCTGTTATAAAAGGGCCCCTTGCTTTTAATTTTGAGTCAATTTATCTTGGTTCCTGTCAAAGATATAAAAAAGTTGTACAACTGATAAATTGAATATCCTGATATCAAAAATATATTTCCAGTTGACTCATATTTGATATCAAGCATAGGAGCCAATAAAAATTAGCCCAAACGAGACAGTGTGGAGGCCCTTCTATGACAGGTTTTACAGCAATTCAAATACGAAGATACACGACTCTTTGATCAAACTAAATCCATGTACTCGATTCCGAGGTTCCTTCCTTTAATCGTTTGATCTCAGTTGTACTTTGCCTTACCATTCGTCACTTTTGATATCAACTGTAAGATTCCATCCCCGCACATTCCTATCTAAAAGCATTCTTTTCCCCCTCCCCTATATTTCTTATATAAAAGCGAGCCAATGCGAGCTCTTTTTCATTTGTATAATTTTTATCATTATTGTTTTTCTTTTGTCTCTATTGTTATATTTTTCTTTATATCTTTAGTTAATAAAAGGTTTAATTACCCAAGTTTGAGGTCTCAACATCGATCGACTTCAAACTTGGGTTTCCCAAGAATGCCGCCAGGACAAGAGTGATTGGTGCATCACAGATACTGAACTATCTTCGTGAACTGATCAGCGCAGCATTAACAATAGCTGAGTGGCATTGGAACTGAGCGAATGAGTTCGAGCATGGAAGTTTTCCGAGACCGAGCAAAACCGAAATGATCGACAACGCCGTTTCAAACTATGGGAACGTAAGAACTTAAACCTACTCGAAGATCCAGGGCATTTACGAAAATTCTGAACATGTGAGTCGTGAAGTTCAACCTCGTCACCCAAGATGTGACCACCAAGTGCTGGAACTAAGTTGGAACTGACCTACTGGCGATAAAATTGACTGAGAGGAAGATCGAATCAGGAATTCTTGAAATCACCCACCAAGAGTGATGGGAGTGCCTCATATCTATACGCGACTAGGACGAGAAATGCACGAAGCCGAAGATCGAAGAACTATATTTGAGAAGATCAGAGCTGGCACTCGAAATGGCCACCTGAAGGTATGGTTTTCCTAGATCGTGAACGAGGATGAGAAAATCCGAGAGTAAACCGATGAACAATTCAGTTCAAGAAGAAATCGAACATCGAGCAGTGAAGGACAGAGCACAGAACGATTCCGATAGAGCTAGAGTATCCACCCAGATCACGAGAAGAAGAATGGAACGTTAGAACTTTTGTAAAAGCTATAGCGAGGATGAACGATCGATCTCAAAAGAGCCCAACCCGGATCAAACAAATACCCACGACTGAAGGACGATTAGATTCAAATCGACGAAGGAGACAGAATCTATCCCGCCGGGAGCCTGCTCTACGAGCATCTTTTTCAGATTTAAAGATCAAAGCTACATCATCATGGAAGATTCTGATGGATGACTACTTGAACGAATGCAGACTTCAGGAAGATCGTCGCCAACATGACCTATTTCGCCGTTTAGAAGAACTATAGAACTAAACGACAATCATGAACTAGATCGACCCGATAGACTCGGGAAGGTCAACTACCAGAACTATCATCTGCTGAGCCGGGAGTGAACTCGATACCGAGTTCCTTTCTCGAGATGGAGTTGCAGGGAGACGAATAGAGCTAATGATCAAAATGGAATCCATCGACGGCAGTCATTTTCTGAGTAGGGAGTGTACTCGACTCCGAGTTCTTTCCTTTAATCGTTTGATCTCAGTTGTACTTTGCCTTACCATTCGTTTCATAAAAAATTTTTTCTTTTTTTTTCTATTCGAAATGCCACAATTTGATTGTTTCCGGTGAGCTTTCCGCGCCGGTTCGCAAACTCATCCGGTATCTGGCCATTGTGTATTTCTCCTATTTTCGATTTGACATCCGACCCCCCCCCCCCTGTCACTTCGGACATTGTTTGTTTTTGTGAATTTCTTTTCTACCATAAAACGATCCGTATATCCGAATGAACATCTCATTTTGAATAGCCCACTTTGCTCCAGTTCGTCTATTTTCAATGTATTCAATCATTTTACTTTTCTCTGTTCTGGCGGTTATCCCAATTAGCCTTTCCAGTTTTCAGAGGTTGGTGGAATAAATATTTCTCAATAAATTCAATTATTTGAGTAAATTTCAGATACCCTGTTAGGAGATTCAATCAACCAAATGTTCGTAGATTACCTCCTCATATTCAAAGAATCAAAGCAACATCTAGCTCTGTTCCAGTCAGGACAACTACAGTACAATCACTTCCATACAACTTCAAAAATCTTGGTAAATGATTTTTCAATAATATAGTTCTAATACAATTTTCTACATCTACATTTTTTGCAGAGAACATCACTTCAATCCGGCAACTTCTAATGGAAACCGCAATCTCACCCATGAAATCAGTGGGACCAGTGGCAAGAATAACACAAAATATAAGTGAGTCACTAACCTGTCCAGCTGTATCATGAAGCTGTAGACGAATTGGTTTTTTGTCGACTAGGACCACAACGGAGAAGTTATCAAAAGCAGTTGGCACATAGTTGTGGGGATAAGCATTCGTTGTGTAGCTCACAATCATTGAAGTTTTTCCCACGGCTGCATTTCCAACGAATATGCATTTGAGACACTTTTCATCCTCTTCTTTTGCCATCTTTGAAAAATCTGATAGTTATAGAATATGAGAAAGAATAGATGACGTTCACGATTGACTGTAAACTAGGTATTACAAGAAAAAAAAATGGTGGAAAAGTTGTGAGAAAAGAAGAAGAAAAAGACTGGATAAGAAACGGGTAACTGACAGAAAAGAGATCCATTACTAAGGAAAATAATGGGGTTTGAAGAAGCGATGATAGTTGATTCAATGATTCACGGCTTCTTCTTCTTTGTTAGACTTCGTTTTGGGATTTATACCAGGATACTAAATGTTTTCATGCATTTCTTCGGTTTTTGATTTACGGGGTCAGCTGGTAATCGTTTAGTTCCAATGGCAAAGTAGAAGAAGAAGAAATGAACTGGTCAAGAGGGGTTACAACGACAAATGTTTTCATAACGAATGTGTGAAAAGAACATCTTCTTTTTAGAAATGAAGAAAAAGACATGAAGAAATGATCAAATCCGTCTATCGCCTATTGATCGATAATTGCGTCGATTAATGGATGTAGATAATACTTGATAATTGGTGACGGGAGGAGAGAAGAAACCGGATTCAGGACGATAGTTCCTAGTTAACATAAGCTTAAGTTTTTTTTAGATGAAAAGTTGGAAAAAGATTGTTTAAAATCAGGTTGAAGTTACACTGTACTACATTGGTTTAAGTTTGTATTCAAAGTTATCTTTTTTAATGTTGCACCACCCAAACAATGCCAGTTTGACTCAAACTACAGTAAACACTCTAATAGAAAACCACCTTTGAGATCAATTATTTCAAATTCTAGAAGAGATGACAAAAATCTTTCAACTAATAAATGTTTGTCATGATATTTCCGACATTTTTTTTTTCATTTGCCACACATTTGTTATCTCTTCTAGAAATTGAGAAAATTTAGCACATAGTGCAAGTAAAGGGTGACCTTCTATTAGAGTTTTTACGGTATCTTCCTCGTTGGAAAAAAAACTAATAGTAAAAATTATCGAATAATCTGGATTGAGAAAAATTTTAGGATTTTAAACAACGGCGTTGAGGTGCTGTCTATTAGAAAAATCACAATAGATCCACCCACTTTGATAGAAGTAGATTTTGAGTTAATTTTTTCCGGGAGTTTTCAATAGTTAATTAGATGCTTTTTTCTGAAAGTTAATTCTCTTAAAAAATAGGTGCGCCAATTTAAACAGAAATCTCGTTCACCATGAGAAGGAATGTTCAAAAAATAGGTGGGACATTCATAAGATTCTTGATGCCAGTAATTGATAGAGATACCAAACCAAAACTTCAGAATTGGATGTTGAGTTACCCACCCTAAACTTCTAGTTCTATATCGTCCTTAGCTACGAAAACATACGTCTTCTTATCAAGAAAAACACCATTGATAGAGGTCTCTGATCGGTTGGAAACAAGTCATTCAAATCCAATCTCTATTCATACGAAATAAGAAGAACTGGAGAAAAGGATAGACATTAACTCTTATGCAATATCACAATTCCACCTATAGGTGTGTTATGTATCCATCCGCGACGCAAAAACTATGCGAGATATTCGACCTTGTTAGAATAAACAAAAATTGAAGGCGAAAGATGTGGATAGAAGAAATCAAAAAAGATATATGGCCAATGAAGAAATCAACGAAGAAGAATTGAAAAAGGGAAGGAATCCGTTGATAACGACGTTGAGTGTGCCGAGATGAATTTTCCCACTGTCCATCGAGAATTTCTGATTTCCGAGAACCGGTCTTCCACTTTTCTTTCTCACTGTTTCTGGTTCAATAATCAGCATTCCAAATGAAAAAGAAATCTGAATGAATTTACGAGGTGTTGATTATGGAATGGGATATAAGGAAGCTGAGAATAGACTGATGGATAGAAAAACAATAGTAATAAAAGTACGAATGGGAAAGAAAAGAATGACACAGAACGGACGACGGTTGCGCGTTATGAGTAATGGAATGTGTCTAGTCAACTGACCAATACTTTCCAATCAAGGAAGTTGATGGATTTTTTAATTCTCGACGATAGATTAAAATTCCAAATTAATTAAAACCTGAAAATGGGAATGAAACTTTGAATTTCTATTAACAAACTACTAATCACATTTGTAATTTTTCCAGACACCGCCCAACTTCCATGTTGTCGTGACCGTTTCGGAGAGCAAGCTTGTCAATCACTTAGGAAAGCTCAACCGGCTCTCTTCGAGAAGAGGTACTTTAAAATTTTCTGAAATTTTTCGAGAGAAGAAATGAGAATGAGTGTTCTAGAAAATCCAATAAAAAGTGAGAGGATAGAGTGGCGATAAATATGAGAAGGAGGAGTAAGGGATCCAGCCGTTTTTTTCTTGTGTTCATTGCAAATCTCTGCTCAAGTGTGCGCGATTATTTGTCCTTTTCCTCCCCTTTCATTTCTTATTTGTGAGGCGAGAATTTGACGTTCCATACGGATCATAATGACAGGCAACATTTGAGAAAGTTGGAAAGTTCAAAAGTTTCTTTAATAAAGTAAAACAAGTTTTCAGATGCCTGACGGATCACGACTTCAGTTCCATCGATTGTTGTGGAGAGTGTCGGAAATACATTGAGAGAAGTAGCACATTTTCATTAATTCCAAAAAGTTATCCAAAAAAATCGATTTCAGATAAGATAAGCTCGGAAAACTCTCGCTCACTTCAAAAGGCTCCTGCAATGTGTAAAGACAAACATTCCATCGGATTCTGTCGACGATTCAAAGCTTCTGGAATGGGAAAATACAGTTGTTCAGATGCTGAGTTTGCAGTCAGAGTGTGCCGTCATTCGTGTGGATACTGTAACGATGAGCTGTATTCCATGAAGAATGCTCCATCGATGTGCTCGGATACCAATAAAGCAATTCCGATTGTGAATGGTACCCATTTATACTGGGCGTTTGGAAGAGAGGATACGAAAAAGGCTCTTTAATTTATTTTTTTTTAATCTGTGTGAACTTGTTATTTTTACTTTTCCCTAGTCAAGGTGAATAATTGTATCCAAGTGGATAAGACTTCTAATAAAATATATTGAGTTGTTTTTTGAGTTCCGGTCCAAATTCTTGCACTTCTCTGTGATTCCAATGGATTTCAAACTCCAATTCCATCAATCACTTTCGCAAAAGCAGAGCCTGGCACAAAAAAACAAGGGGCCACATGTTCGCACATTTCAATTCGAATTTAGAATTCTGAAAGGTCAGCGCTTCGTCATTCAGCGGCGACACTGATGGATGATGGCAACAGAACACAGTGATTAGAAAGAGAAACAGGAAATCAGAGAGATAATTTTTTTCTTTGGATGGATTGGTTTGACACATTCTTGTATGTCAGAATGGAATGGGGAGCAAAGGAAACATAGTTGCAAAGTGTAGAGCATGAAATTGATCCCGTTCTTGAAAAAAAAAATATTGGAGTATTGGGTTTCTTTTGAAGTTTCAAAAAAAACTGAGTGGTCTCGGTCACTTGTTCTTCAGTTTTCAGACAACGTTGGGATATAAAACCAAGTAGTCAGGTTTCTGAGCCTGGTCATTTTCTCGTAAGGCTCCAGAAATCGAATAGGGAAAGTGATTCTGGTGGAAATGCAGATGTTTCATTTTTGAGAATATATTCTCAAACTGGTATCTCTATTTTGGTCTTACAAAATATGACAATTTTTGGCAGTCGTTAGAAATTATTTAATTTGTTTCAAAGCCGTTGTTCATGATTCTTCGTTTGTTACCGTAAAACATGAAATAGAAAAACCCCGCACTGTCAATTTTGAGATCGAAAATCTCAATTCCCATGAAAGGTAACAAGAATGTATCAATTGACAAAACACTCGTGATATTATGATAAACCAGCAAGCGGGTGCGCCTTCGGCGCTATTCAATCCAGTTTCTTACTGGTTCGTAGCTTCGCTCTTCACTTTTTCTTGAAAGGTCACGTAAATCTATATTTATGTTTCAAGTTTTTCAAAAGTTGACAGACTGACATCGGAACGGACAGACGTCTCTAGCGTTTTATATATAAGGAAAATAGTTTATCAGTGGACAACTTTCCTATGTCTTTGACAGGAACTGAAATAAAATGGCTCAAAGTTAAAAATTAGGTCGGCCTTAGGATTAGGTCAGCCTTAGGATTTACGGTAATTATTGTTTCGAATGTTCTGAATGTCATGAATTTCTCAATTTTTTAAATAATACTTTTCCATTCCATCACCTTCAATCGGCAACAATTTTGGCGACGGTGGCAAAAACAGAAATTATCTCCTGGGGGTGCCAACTCATTTATCTCTATCAGTTGACACTTGTCCCCTTCCATTGAATATCTCTTCTCGATTCTCCGTTTCCCTCACTTATTTCTGTTTTCTGCCTCGTTTTTTTCCCTCCATCCCGCCTCTTCTCTTTATCTTCATCCCACCTGCAATGTCCTAGAAAACTCGGGAGGAGCAGGGATGAGAGCAGGACACTTTTCTGTCACCTTCTATTTTTTCTCTTAACCTTTCTTTAGATTTTCCACATGTTTCATGTCTAGAGACCTAAGAAAAATGCCGATGAGTCAGATTGGGGGGAGTTCTTGTGTCTAATGAGTGGGTTGGAAGAGCTGCAAGGGGTTTATCCGAATCTCATAATTTTAAATTGACCAATAAAAAAAGAATTTCATGAAATGACTCGTTTCATTCTTTTCGACTCTCTTGCCGACATCTGTATACTCTTTGACTCCGCCCATAGCATCGAAAACTTTAAAATCCTTTTGAATTCAGATCAAGAAAAAGTGGGCATCATGCTCACTCGACTTCTTGTTCTACTCTTTGGATGTACTGCGGTCAACTCACAGCAACTGTTATCCAATCCAAGATGCAATCACTGGCCAGACCGTGGCACGTGTGAGCTTGAATTCCAGGTTAAATGGTATTATGATCGTTACGATCACCGGTGTCGTCGATTCTTCTACGGTGGATGTGAAGGGAATGAGAATCGATTCAACTCCTTGGAAGGTGATTTTTCTCTTTTTTTTCTTAAATTCTTCTTTTATTCCAGAATGTTCTTCGCAGTGCCATTACGAGGAACCATCTAATAGAGATCGGTGTTTCCAACCTCATGATCCCGGCCACTGTCATTCTGATATCGAACGTTGGTTTTTCGATCAAGACAAAAAACAATGTGTCTGCTCCTGGTGGTCGGGTTGTGGTGGGAACTCCAACATCTACTATTCCTACAATCATTGTATGCTGATTTGTGGTGAATATGCTGAGCATGGACCAGGAATTGATGAAAAGTATTGGGGACGACAAATGGTAACTTCTACTGTTCATGAATGCCATTCAGATAAGTTTCATTCTAGAATCACACAATGTCTGCTGAATCCGCTCAAATATTCAACAATCCAACGGGATCTTTTGGTCAATATTCTGAAGAACCATATCCGGTGCAAGTTCCTGTTGACAACTCGTACTACAACAACCATCAACGGCATTCAGATGGCTGGAACAACCAGCAACAACTTCTAACTATTAACATCAGTCACAGCGATGATGGACCGGTGAATCGTTGAAGTATCAGAACAATTTAAATTTGAATATTTCCAGCGTTACTTTCATGCAGCTCCTGCTGTGACTGTTCCATTTTTAAGCCGTGCTCAGGTGTTCAAAACTCAAGCGGACGGACTGACGATTCACCGCTATGATTCTGAACAACGCCCAATGCAAGTGATTGATCAGAATTCCAACTGGCAGATTCAGGAGCAAGCACCAGTTCAAGACAGCGGTTATATGAAGAGAAGATTCAAAATTGCTAAGAAGAAGATTCCTCCACGAATGATTCATTTGGGAACTCGACCATCAAGTCCTTCGAACTCTTATCGGATTCAATTAGATGGAGATTCTTCAGATAGCAACAGACCAGTTTCTTATCAAGTTGTTAGAGAACAAGGTACTGAATTTACTTAACAAGAAAATTGGTTTCATGGTAATTACTTCCAGATGCACACGTTCAGCAGCACAACCAAATCTCGCAATCTTTGCAAGACGAGGCAGAAGAGACGCAGAAGAGGATCCAGGAAACGTTGAGACGCAATTACTATGAGCAGGCAAGATATCGAAGGCCACCGGTTCAGAGGCTTCCTCCTCCACCGCCTCCGCATCAAAACACACACCCCGACAATCAAAATTACCATCCAGAACTTGTGAATCAATTCAAATCTCATTTGGATGAGCATGAAAAAGCTTTGAGAAGAAAGTTGGAAGCTCAGTTCCCAGATCACATTATCACATTGATTCCACATATTGAAACTGTGAGACATCCGGATGGAAGGAATGTAGTTAGACAAAGGATCCAATGGACTGCTCAACCAAAAGGAGCACGAATTTCAGAACATGCACCAATTCCTCCTGTAGCTCAGCTCCCACCAATACAGCCAATTCAACCAATTGAAGTTCAACCAACCTATTCAGCTCCTACATTTGCTCCGCAAGAACCAGAAGAGACAGAGGAACCAACAATGTCCCCACATGAAATTGCACGTCTGAAACATGAAGAAATGCAGAGAAAGTTCAAAGAAGAGATGGAAAAACGACAAGCGGAACAGAAAAGACAACAAGAAGAACAAAAGAGACAACAAGAGGAACACAAAATGAAGATTCAAGAATTGAAAGCAACCCAACAGAAGGAGAGAGAAAGAATCATGGCTGAGAGGGAGAGGGCTGAAGCTGAAAGAAGAATTCAATATGAAAATGAAATGAGACAAAGAGCTGAAGAGTATAAGGCAAAAATGAGAATGACAACGACTCCAACACCAACTACCACCATTGAAACTACAACAGAATACATTCAATTCGCATATCCAACTGTTCCAGTCAGACAAGTCGTTTATGATGCTGATGTTAGAAGACCAATCCCAACAAGCAAATCAATGGCTGAACCAATTGACCACGTTCGACCGATTATTGAAAATGTGACACCAGCTTCGCTGAGTCTTGAAGACATAATTGCAATGGACAATCAGAAATCTGATTACGAAGATGAGTATGATGTGCCAATGGACTTCCCAGATACGGAAGCTCCGCCATTGACAACAAGAGCTCCTCCGGTCACTCCTCGATACGTTCCACCTCCACCGCCACAAGTTTCCCAACCAAAAGCACCGGTAAACGGAGGAATGGGAATGTCTCCGATTGTACTGCCCCCGAATAGTGGAAGTGAGTTTTTTTTCCTACTTTGAAAATTATCAAGATCTTAATTTGTAGAGAAATCGAAACTATTCGCACCACCGTCCAGTGAAGAGTACACTCAAGAAGTCGATTTTGATCCATATGTGGACTTTGTGAAGATTTAAATATAAAATCAGATAGCGTTTTAACTCCCGCATTTCCTTTAGCAGCTCACCTGAACCGTCAACTTTGAGCTGAATTATCTCAACTTCTGAGAAAGGTATCAAAATTGTGCCAATTGACAAATTATTTATCATAATTATACCAATGTTTTATCAGTTGATCAATTTTTGATATCTTTCACAAGAATCGAGATAATTAAGCTCAAACTTGACGGTTAAGGTGGGTTTTTATTATAGGAAATATGGTAATTTCCCTTGATACGAGTATATTTTATGGAATGTTATCCCACACTAGAGACTTTTTAAAAAATCCTATCGTATTTCTCATCTCTTTGATTTTGAAAATCTGACCTTGAATGACCTTTCCGTTTTCTACATCGATTTGTCTAGCCACAATCTTCACCTAATTGCCATCTAATTTTCACATTTTTCCAATCTCTCTAAAAATCAGTTAACACAAAATGAGTGGTGCCAGTGGCACGTTAATATTTTTCATGTTTCAACCAAGAAAGAAATCACATACTTCGTGATGATGCTCTTAATAAAACATCTTTGTGTTCCCGCCTCTTTTTCTACATTCCTGATAACAGATTTTTTCCTTTTCTTTTTTGTCACCATTCTCTTTCTTCTCTTCAGACCACAGAGCTTTACATCTTTTTGATTTATTGGCTCTTTTTTATCTCCAGACAGAAATATTCGACTGGCGGTCACAAGGCATATTGCGTCTCTTCGCCCGACCTTCCTATTTTCTCCAGAAGGTTCTCTTCCTCTTTTTTTTCAGATGAACTTGTTGTTGATTCTCTCACTGGTTAGTATCGCTTTGGCGGGTTCCAGTAACTCTGTCAACACTTGGGGAGGTGTTATCCAATATGATGAGGATTGGGGTTATGTAGATATTCGTGCCAATGCTCACACCTTCTGGTGGCTTTATGCAGCAAAGCCAGCTAACTCTCAACGTCCTCTGTTCGTCTGGCTTCAGGGTGGACCTGGATCTTCCAGCTCTGGATTCGGAAACTTTGAAGAAACTGGACCAAAAACTTTGAATGGAACTGACAATAAAGCCACATGGGTAAGTTCTCTGATTGTTATTTTTATACTGAGAAATGAAATAACTTTGTAGCTCCAAGTCGCCGATATGGTATATGTGGACAACCCAGTCGGAGCCGGATTCTCGTATGTTGATGACAAATCTGCTTACACCACAGACATCACCCAAATTGGAAAGGATTTGCTCACATGGCTTCGTAGATTCTTGGCTCTTCACTCCGAATACCGTACTCGACCATTCTACATTTTCTGTGAGAGTTATGGAGGAAAAATGAGCGCTCAATTCGGAAAAGTTATCACTGATGTAAGCTTAGGAGAAGAACCAGGATTCCAATTAAAAATAAGAAAATTCAGGCAGTGAAAGCTGGCAGTCTTCAATTGAACTTCCGTGCCGTTGCATTGGGAGACTCGTGGATTTCAGCTATGGATTATGTGAATACCTGGGGACCGTATCTTTATGCCAATGTAATTTTCTTTTTTTTTCTTCATATGACTCCAAAAGGGAAAGTACGATTTTCTGACCTAGTAGTCACTATTTCGTCTTTTCTGCCATAATCCGCTTATCATCTTAACCACGTATGTGTGTTTCAGTCATTCCTTGATGACCATCAACTCAATTTGGTGAATGCTGAAGCTGCAAAATGTCAGGCTCTTGTGGATCAGCAAAAATGGTCAAAGGCAACGAATTGCTGGGGAAACATGGAGAATTTGATTGGAGTGGAGACGAATGGAGTCTCTTGGTACAATATTTTGAAGAAAGGTGACACTGACGATTGGAGTTCTTCTGCTGCTATGAGATCCAATAGAGTTATCACATCGACCCGTAGACTATACAATCGATTCGTTGCTCCACAAAACGATGACACCCTCTCCAGTTACATGGACACTGTAGTTCGACAAAAGTTGGGAATTATTCCGGACAAAGTGAAGTTCGGAGCACAAGCCGGGGATGTGTTCAGTTTTCAAGAGGGAGATTTCATGACACCGATTTGGGAGACTGTTGATCAATTGTTGAAAGATGGACACAATGTTGTTGTGTACAATGGAAATGAGGATTTGATTTGTAATACAATGGGAACAGCTGCATGGGTAAACCGTCTCACTTGGGATGGAGCCAAAACATTCAACTCCACTACCAGACACTCATTCAAAACTGATTCGTTCCCATTGGCTGGATATTACAAGACATACAAGAACCTTCAGTTCTGGTGGATTCTCCGAGCTGGGCATATGGTAAATTAGAGATTCACTGATGAAATAAAACTGAAAAATCTCATTTCAGGTCGCCTACGATACACCAGAATCTGCCATTTTTATGTTGAAGGCTGTTGTCAAGCAGTACAATGCTTAAATCAAATTGTTTCTGTATTTATGATTAATAAAGGTTACCAACTATTCTTTGTGTATCCTGCACAATTTGTGACGTCTTCTCATTTTTTATTAGCTAATTAGAACCGAAATCGTGAACAATTAAGAGCAGGATGAATTGAATAAAAATGTAAGTTTTCTGGATGGGGTGAGGTGAGAAGACATCTGGAGTATATTGATTAGGAGGAAACACGATGAGAGGCATGAAGGAACAAAAATGGTACCATAAATGACGGTTTTGCTGACTGACAAGGGGAATAAAAGCAGCAGATAGAAAAAAAGTGGTAAAAATGGGGACGGGGAAGAAGGAAAAGAAGAGAATTGTGGAATGTGATATTTTTGGTGGGAGAAATTTGGGGAGATTTCTCCGATATATGTGTTTTCTTGGTTTTTATCCTGTTTTTGTGACATTTTTCTATACAACACAGAAACGATTCTCTGCAGGTTTTCAGATAATTCAAGAGTCGGTAGGTTGAGAAAACGGACGGGGAAGTAAATACAAGTATTAAATGATCTCAATAAGCGAATGTTAAAGAGATGACGGTGTGGGACGCGACGACAACGAGGCACCAATTTGGCTCATATAAATAAGAAACTGCGACCAGAGAGAAACGAACAGAAACTAAGGAAACGAGATAAAATTAACACAAAAAAGAGAAATAGAGATAGGGGAGAGTCAAATTTTTAGGTCAGACGATTGAAAACTACGTAGACAAAAAGAATGAAATACAAAAGAAATGCGTTTATGATTGATTGTTGATGAAAATGTTATGCATATATAAATCGAGGTTGGGGAGGAGGAGAGAATTGCATTTTTTCAGAGTTGTGCTCTAGAAGAACCATTCGAATATTATTATCATTATTATTTTACAAAAATTTCGAGAGTTCAATGGGATAAGGATGAGTGGGTGGGTAGCCAATGAGACTGATACAAATAGGTTTTCAGCTCTCGAGTGTTCGTTGATTCATCTAAAAGCACAGTATATTTTTTATCCTAGTGTCTGACCAAATATAAAAAATCATAGGTTCCGTGAGTAACGGAAAGCTTATATATTAAAAAAAAAAACTAACCGATATTCAAACACTTTGTGGCACCTCCATATGTTTCTCACTAGCCTCCAACCCATTGCTCCCATTCAAGTGTCCGTTATCCTTGTCCAATTCGACTTCTCTACTCTCTTCGACGACTCCATTTGCTACCTCCACCACCATCTCAAGAATTGGCTCTTCGAGAGTGTCATCACGGGTTCTCTTCTCTGGTGGAACATCTTCTAAGGTGGAAGTAGTCACTGTTTCCGAAGTCGATGTTGCTTCTTGAACAAGACGTTTGCGGCTCACAGGGGTTCCGTTATTCGTTGTTGAATCAGGCTCGGAAGAAGGCATTGCCTCAGAGAGCGGTGTGCTCGGAGCAACTAGAGTCGTTGGCGTCGTTGGGACCGAATTAGTACTGGAAGTTCTCGCAACAGTTGTTCTATAAGGCACTTGGCCCATCGGTGGTGGGGGATTTTTCGGCGGTTTCCAATCACGACCTTTTTTGAGAGCAGCAGCACCGATAATACTGAACAATCTGGTCCTCTTCATGTAGAACATGTCAATCTGAAATCATATTGACATTGCAACCATAGACATTAGCAATCACTTACCTCTACTTGGGAGTTTGGTCCGATGCCCTTCACACCACTAGCTTGCAACTCCACGTTTGTTCTGAATCGTTGAATCTCAGATGTCAAATCAAGATTCGTGGCGTGTTCAGCAAATTCGAGTCCGATGAACCAAATGGTAATTCTGGTGTTTTCTGGTCTCACATCAAACTTAGCGTTCGGTGATGGTCTGTGTTTGTTGGTGTCGTTGTGAGCAATGAGAATGTCTTGGTTACGCTCGAGACTTTGCACGAGGAGTCGAATACGAGACTCGAGAAACCGCCATAGTTCAATTCCTCTTCTTCTGTGGATGTAGCCATGATCAGAGCTTAAATAAGCTGATAAATTGTGATCACAATTCAGAAAAAAAAACATACCAATATAATGCTTGTACCGGCTGAAGAATTTGACCTCCTTGAATAGGTCCTCCCACGTAGCCTTTCCCTCTGTGATATCTTTGCAGATTTCCAACCCTTCACAAATTTCGTTTCTGATGATGTGACAAGTGGATCGTGTAACGTTGTGTGTGGAATTCTGTTCCGGAAAGGCCGGAGTGATTATGGGCATCAAGTGAAATCTATCAGAGTTTTTCTTACGAGGATCCCAAATCAAATCACAAAGCGTGGGAATGTCATTTCTGTCTTGATCTAGTGCGCTTAGAAGAACTGGATGTGGCCAAGTCCATGTGGAGAAAATGAAGAACATTCGGTGAACGATTCGAGATGCACTTGCATTAGGATATAACTGGCAAGCTCGGGCAACAAGAATAGCCCAGCTAATACCTCCAAAAAAACCCATTGAATTTGAATAAATTCCGTGATTCTTTGCCCAGAGTTTGATGGCTCGAAGCGCTATGCAAAATTCTTTCTGGCGGGGAACAAGTTTTAGCAACAGTTCGGCGACGCGACATCCGTTCAGAGATCTGACACTTTCCTGATCCAAGTTTCTGAGAAGCTGATCATCGAAAAGATCTTGAGTGTCCGGAACTTCTTTAAGAGCGAGTCGCGCGAACAAAATATCAAGCTCAACGCCGGAGTATTTTAACTTCATTACTGGCACGAAAGCCTCTTCAACACCATGCAACTCCGTCACATTTGGGTCTTGGCGCAGCATTTCTTTGAAGGAAGTGAAAAAATCTGTGCGATCAATGTGGCGTGGAACAACTGCGAGCGTATCGATATCAGCACCAGAACTGTGTACTCCCAGACGATATGAACCGAAAGTGAACAGTTTACCACCAGCATTCGCTCCTTCGCCACTCGGTATCTGAAAGAAAATTAATGTTGTAAATAACACTATTGGCAATCAATCTTTATCAACTTCATTTTCCTTTAATGGTTTCCGACGTTCAGTTCAACGTTTATTTGAAGTGTTCGGAATTCGTTATTTTTTTACTAGAATAATTAATAATGAAATCATAATGCCGAGGGATATTTTTTAAATTTCTAACTTTTGTTAAAAATAGGCACAAACCTTGATTGCGGTTACTTTCTTCACCCATTCTTTGACGAGACGGTTCAAACTGCGAAGTACTTCCATCCTTTTCTCCGTTTCCTCTTTCGGTTCATAACTGTTGAACTTTTTCAAAGTTGCAATCAATTGATCCGTCATAACTATATCCTTTTGATCCGGCCTCAATGTTGAGATGGGCTGCGAGACACCCAGATGCGGCGTTCTGTCTGTTACCGACGCCGCCATGATAAATAATTCTGAATTTGTTTGGTACTTGGTAATACTTGGTAATACAAAATAACAACTTACTAAGACATGCAATCACCCAAAATTAAACTCCTCCTTCTCCTCAATATATATTTGAGCCGATGCTGAAATTGAAACAAGTTTCGAAAAAAAGCATTAATTTTCGAAAAAAAAACAAGGTTAAAGAGAGACAATGAAAAAGAAGGTTAAGGAATGAGAATTTGCAGTTTAAAAAACTTTCTAAACGAAACAAGTTGAAGAAATTTCAAACTATCTAGGGGAAAAAAACTATTTTTCTCAGTTCCGCTGAAAGAAACGAGGTCCGCGAGGTATGGAAGACGAAAGTGAACGAGAAACAGACAAACGACCGGTGCCTAGAGACTGCAGCAGTGAAGGAGACCGCAGACAACCAGACGTCAGGCAAAGAGCGACAGAAGGCGACGGCCTCTTCAATCGATTCAGCAGTCCCGCTCATGACCGAGTCGTTGTCAAGATGGCGAGAAGCCCTTTTTTGAATGCAAAAGTGAAGAAGAAGAAGAAAAGTGTATGTTTGGAGGGGAAACAATGAACGCTTAAGATGTGACCGAAACTACTACCGCTGTTCGGAAAGTGTTTTTTCTCGTTTGCATCACGTGCCTTCCTGCACTTTGGTCGTAAATAGGTGATGATGCGGGTAATTGTTTCTCTGAATGATGGTTCGATGTTTTCTTTTAAAGAAGTTAGGTTAAAAGGGGAAAATGAAAATGATAACTAGAAAAGATATTTTCTAAGGAACAGTGTTTGGTGAGAAGTTGGAATGGGAATTTGAAAAATCACCAAGAGTCGTTGTGAAAAACTCCTCAAGCGAGAAAAGTATCATTTTCATTAACTTCTGGGTCGGAGAGGTATTTACCACTTTGTTTAGTACTTTGTTTTTGTTTAGTAGTATGTCTATTACTCGCGCAGAAATCTTCCAGAAAATTCTCCTAACTAAATATTTAATGGAATCACGCTGAGAGCAGGAGTTTCAGAAGGGGTGAAATATATGCATGACTACGTCATATTACCGTGAGGCACAAGATTCATAAAATGCGGTGCGCGCCAAAAGAAAAATGAAGGAGCGCACGTCAGCAAGCGAAGGAGGGCACATGAACGACAGAGAAAGTGTTGTGAAATATAGGTTTCCGCTGAAAACGGGAAAATGAAAAGAAAAGCACAAAAGGATTTTGAGATCAGTCTTGATCCATAATTTTAGAACGAGTGGGTATGATTAATAACTATTGAAACAAAAGAACAACAGAACAAGTGAGAATAAAAGGTTGAACTAATTTAGGAATCGTTGGAACTATTTGGAGGCGGTAGATGGTTCTTTGATCTCGTTGGTCTTCTCCGGAACAGTTGAGACGAACCTCTTGATGGTCTCTTGGCGTTCCTTCTGAAAAAAATGGACGTGAAACATGGAATGGTGATTTGCGATGACTTGGAAAGTGAGAGAGGGAGATAGCTGGTACCTGTGTGCCAGTTTGAAGTTTTAATGAAAGATTGCTTGCGAACGTTTTCAAGCATGCATCAAGAAAAAGGTAAAAGAGTGAAATCAAAGTCAGTGGTCAATGATGACACCAATAGTACAGCGACAGAAGAAATAGTTCCAGTAAAGGTGATCATAAGTGCTATAGAACGACCAGATGAGGAGCTAGTACTTTCAGAAAACTTCAAATGCCACAAAGATTTCAAACATTGGATTCAGAAGCATGACTAATTTGGCATTAGAAAACATGGGGTTGGATACGAAAATGGAGGGACCAACGTGGACATCGAAATGGGAATCTATTGCCGCTACTCTATCGTTCGTTACCTGTTCTGGCAATTTCTGGTTCTTCCCATTTTTGTGCGGGTACTACGGTGGCTGGTTTCCATATCAGTTCACTCTCTGTTTCATTTTTATTGGTGTTCCTCTCCTCTACATGGAAACTGCTCTGGGACAGTATGCATCTGCTTCACCATTATCGGTGTTTTCGAGAATGGCTCCAGCGATGGCTGGACTTTCCGCAGGAATGTGTTTCATAATGGTTTTTAGGTTTCTGCTTTAATAATGAACCTCCAGTTGAAAGTAATTTTTCAGAACGATTAGTTTGTCAGTATGGGCGATTTATAATTTGACTATAACTGCACATGCTACTCGGTCATTTTGGAATGAACCCGAATGGGAGAATTGTCCAAACTCCAAATTAGGAGACTATTGCGTAAACTACAAACTAGCGAAGGAATGTACTTGGGCTCAACCGGGATCATCTGAGCAATGCGATCATTACCAAGACGTTTTGATTGCTACAAGAGGGTTTCAACAGAGAAAGTCTCCGTTTATGAGCTTTGTTCATGGACTCATGTATACGGTTCGAGTTCGTGATCACTACGAACATAGTTTCTTTTTTCAGAAAGATTTGAGTGTCAATGATTGGGAACCACCCAGCTACACGTCGATCACATGTGCTGTTGCTCTCTGGATTACAATTGGAATAGTTTCTATTGGTGGATCAAAAGTTCTAGGTAGAACAGGAATTGTTTCTCTTGTTCTGTTACTGATAGGAAGTCTTATGTTGATTTCATTTGGAATTTCGTTCGGAGAATCGGGAGTTGTTGTCACTTCATTCTTCTATCCATCAGAAGCATTCGATGATAAATGGATGTGGGTGTGGTCCTGGACCGATGCAGCAGCACATGCTCTACGAGCATTGAAGTAAATCCAACGGTTATATTTTTCTTCATAATGTAACATTCAGCGTCGGGTGTGGGGGAATTCAAAAATTCGCTTCCCTGAACAACTTTCATAACAAAATACACAAAGATGTTTTAATTGTTAGTAGCATATCCTATTTGTTCTATCTATGCACCGGGATATTCTCATTCATGTTCATGGCCGTAATTGGAAAAGAGTACTACCCAGATCTGGAGGCAAGCGAACGAATCAAGTTATATGCGACACCAGCATTGATCGAAAGCGTTATATCTGAGGTGACTAGAGAAGCATTACTATAAAACAATTCATAACTTCAGAAGTTAACTCAATGTAAACTTGGAGTATTCTGGGTTTTTCTTTTCTGGGTGACACTTGCAGCATGTTCGATACAAGGGATTTCCGGATATATTTGGGTGAGAACTTCGAATACTTTGGAAATTCCAAAACTAATTTCTGTAGGTGATGAGTTCAATGATTGTCGAAAGACTAAACGGAAGTCGGCGAAAATACGGAAAACCTCTCACAGGCTGGCACAAGAGAGCCATAATTTTGACAATCATGAGCATTACAGGACTGATTTCTAGTTTACCATTCTTGGGGAACGGTGGGATAAATCTTATGAGCAACATTGAAACCCACGCATCCTATGGTACTATTTTCATCGCCTTCGTCGAAATCATCACTGTTTCGTATTTATATGGGTTCAAGCGATTTTCTGTGTTAGTTCCTGATAGAGTATGTTTCATAGTTTATCAAATACTATTCAGGAATATTCGTGCAATGATTGGTGGCCGCGGACCTCCGAATATCTTTTGGTGGCTTAACTGGCTCGTTATAAGTCCCCTGCTTTTGATTGTAACTTTCGGATGCATAGTGGCAACCTTCGGACAGCAAAAGGCTTTTAACGATACCTCCATAATCACTTGCGTAATTGGCTATTTTTTGCTAATTATGCCATTCGTTTTAGTCGTGTTCTACTTTTTGAGAGAGGAGTATGACAGAAGAAGGAACATGGAACCATTTGTGGTAAGTTGGTAAACGACATATTCAAAAAAGTATAAATTAATTTAGGTTATGATAAGGGCTACTGGTGACTGGGGACCAATGAATCCAGAAAACAGACGTAAAGCAGTGAAATACGAAAGACAACTACGCGTTCGCTACTGATTATTATAACTTCAATGTCTTTTTCAATAAAACTTACTTCATGCAGACATAAATTGTTTGGCCTATAAGGATGCGTGCATTGCAAAATTTTGGTGGACATGTTTGAATCGTAGTCATGTGGAAGAGTCAGCTAAAAGCTATTCAGTTTAAAAAAATCATGGCTAGAAACTCACCTCGTCGCCTTCACTAATATCACACTGTGCAGTGATAAACACTTCGATTCTTTGATGTAGAATGACATAACGGATGACACAGTTGGGTTCACAATTTCTTCTTATTGCTCGCATTTCATCATTTGAGTCTGTCACATCGATGCAAATGTCATATTTGTCGTAAGCGGTTTCCTGAATATACTCTTCATCATCCGAAAAGTACTTTGACTGCGGCCTGAAAGGTAAAATCTGGCGATGATCTAGAACAGAAAATATAAATTACTGGCAGAAATTATTGTTCGCTTCCGCTTCGATCGCTCGCATTTTCCTTCTTATCTGGAATGCATCGGTTTCTCTTTGTCTCTTGCGATTTGGGGGAACATCTGTAAGAGATAATATTCTATTCTTCTCTAACTCTAACAAATTACTGAGAACTTTGAACTGGGAAAAATCGCTATGTAGTCCACCATACAGGATAATGTTCGGAAGAGACAATCCCATCCTGTCACGTCCGCATTCTTCTGGCGATGTCAGTAAAACTGGAACACGAGCAAGAACGAACTCGCCCTCCAGAATATCACGAGTAGCGAACAGACCTAAAATAATGCTAATAAGTTCGGCTAGAACTAACAAAGATACCTTTTTTAGAAGTGAATGGGAAGAGAACGAAAGGTAATGAGGAGACTTCAGCGCACGGATTTTCTTTACACTTTTCGTTGGCAAGGTAGATAATCTGAAACTTCGATGATGAAATTGAAGCTCATTCTATTAGATGTCTTTTTCTAGAAAGGTCACTCACTTCCGCGGCTCCGACCGTGTCTCCGAAATGCCGGAGAAGACGCCTTGTCCGATGTGAAACTCGTGTGACGCACAGAGTTTTTAGTACATCCTGAAATTCAGTTTATTATAGGGCTGCACTCATGATCAGTATTCTCACATTGTCTACTTTAATATTTTCTAGCGTTTCTTTTCTGAAGTCGTCGTTGGTGAGAAGGTGTGTACCGTAGATGCCGAACGTTTCGGGTGCGTCTGAACAATGGTTGAATTCAATAAAATAAGATGGATAATCTGAATATTTAAAAAGATTACCGTCATTTGTAGAATTTTCGAATCCAGCAGATCGATCGTCTTCGAATTCATGAAATACATCCAAATGGCGATAATATTCTTGTCGGGACATCTGAAAACTGAAACGCATTTCAGATTTTCTGTAATTTGAAGTTCAAATGAAATGGGTAATGTACAAAATACATTGAAGTGTCCGGAAAATCGGAAATTTTGGAAACTCTACCGGAGGTACGGTCGATTATTTTAAAGGAGCAGCTTGTTATGCATGTTAACGTGGCGAGGCCTTGACACAATTTGATATATGCGCATTAAAAATTCTACAGTACTCAATATTTTCGTGCAAGAAATGTTCTGCCAATTTTGGACACAGTTTCTTGAAGCTCGCATTAAATAGAAAACACTAACTAAAAACTTAATTACATTTTTTCATTGTATACTACCTTCTAAATCGGTTTATTGAAAAAAAAACACATTTATCAATTGAGCTGAATTTAACTTGTGTGTGAAGAATCTTCTTGGTGACCGGTTGGAGGCACGATTTTGAATAAAAATTATTTATTCTCAACGTTTCGGCTTTATGCCATCTTCAAGAGAATAGGACAATTACCTACAAAAATGAGAATAGAAGAAGTGTGAACCGGTGTAGGGATGAGTGAGGTAGAGATAGAGAAAACCGTAAAAATGAAAGGTAATAATGAACCATAAAGAACTGGGATGAAAAGACAAAATTTTTTAGAGACAAGGAAAAAGGAAAAGAAAAAGAAAAAGAAGACATTTCGGTTGGGAAGTGGTGGGACCATAAAAAGATGACTATTGAAAAGATCACTATGGATTCAAAATCGTGCCTCCAACCGATAAGGTCACCAAGAAGATTCTTCACACACAAGTTAAATTTCAACAATGCACGAAAAACGGATTGCCTATATCCTATCAATATGAGCTGAATTTGTGATATTAGGAATACAGTTAATAAATTTGCTTCTGAAGATGGCTTCAACATATTGATGATTGTTTCTGAATGACATCTTAAAGTTCCGGCATCTGAAAAAAGTTTCCACTCAATCCGTTCAACGATGTAGTGGTTGAAATCACGAGTCCAAATATTCTCCAGACACAGGCTTATCTATTGCGGTTACGATCAAAAATCATTCAAGTTTATTTCAGATGTAATCAAATGAAAATTTTTGAAATAAAGAGGTATATTGACCGGAAAGTACTGTCATTCACTATTATCATTAGTAAACTATTTTTATGAAAACACCACATTTCAGACCGTTCAGTTTTACATCACCGATCATCATGTTTTCAATAAATGTTTTCGTATAAAACTTTCCCACACTCATACAAAAAGACATCTCTTTTCCTCTCTCTTATAGAACATCCCACGTCATCTCAGTTTGACCAACTTGTTCAATAGACTGTTATATCGTATAGATCTCATACAAATATAATCTCTCCACACATATCATATCTTCCAGTCTTTCTAGAACCCCCTTACTCCCTCACTGCATCCATCATCTTTTGGTTCTTCTTTTTTTTGAGGTCATCGAATCCCCTTGAGACATAAAATTGTAAACCCGAGATGGTTGGAGTAGCACGCAACGAGCATCACATTTCGATAGAATTTTTGTCATCTTTCATATATCAAAGTTCCCGTTCAGCTGTCAGAAAATTATTTAACGCCCTTCTAATTGAATCGAGGAATTACATTTGTAATCACCTATTTAGTTTGACCGTTTCCTATACTTGATGACATTTCTTTCACCAACTCGAAACAGAAGTTTTCGGTTACATGGACGCTGACTACCTGATAAGAATTCTGAGACGTGGCAAAGTTTGTAAAAGGAACCTACTGTACTCTCAGATGATACGGGAATCTGGAGAATAGTTTTGCCACCTGATTATAAAAATTTATATTTAATTTTTCAAATTATTGGAATACGGTAGCTTCCGTTAATCGAACAAGACCCATCCTGATGATTCACTTTTCAACAAATTCAACTTTTAATTATGATGTCATTGTATCTGAACTGGCTCATTTAGAAGAATAGTTTTTTCTTCACACAGTATACTGTAGATGAATTGAGTTTCATTTCATTTTAATACTTCTATTTTCTAGCCATATTTTCAAAATAACCGCTACTATAAATACATAACCAAATTATAGAACCTGTTCTCGTTTTCCCTTTATACCAATTGAGGTCAAACCGACTAGGAGAACATATGGGTTGATGGTCGGGTTGTTCTAATTTCTAAATCTTGAATACAACTTCTTCCGAAGACGTTATGATGAGACGCGTCACAGGCGCGCCAAAGACGCGCAAGTTGGTGTCTGGCTCGGCTCAAAAGTTTTCACGTGAATTCCCCTGACCTAAACACATCTGAACGAAGCCAAACCATTCTCCATTCGATTCCATTGAAAGTCCTTGTCCCCCTAATTTTCTCATGCACCAAATTTATCATCTGCGTCGTTTCGGTAAGAGACTCGAAAAAGTGAGAAGACGAGGAATTTTTGCTGTCCGGCGAAAGCTCCAACTGATAAGCGATCAGAATAAAAACCTGATTGACGAACCATTTTTTTTATCACTTTCGGTTGCAAAAAATTTTTTCTGCCCACCCCCTTCTCTCACTTCGACTTGTAACTTCAGAAAAAAGAAAGAAGTGTAGTCAAAAAGAAAGAATGGAGTTGGATGGAATCAAAAGTGTAGAAAGAAACCCATTTTCTTTTTTCAATGGTATCTTTTTCAATGGTATCATTATTCATACACTTCACTTCAAACATACACCCACTACCTTTTCTCGTTGTTGTTTTTTTTGTGTTTGCCATCAGAGCTCACTGAAGATAACAATAAACACTTTCTTCACATGCTTCAACTTTAGATAAAATTATTCATTGTATCGAATCATTATTTCAGGTTAGTTGAGCCAAAATGTCGTTCACACTGTCCAGAGACAATTATGCTTTTGATGATCCTTGTAGAAAGTAAGTTTAGATTCGAAAGAGTTTTAATCACCTTTGTGATTACTGTAGGCCCACGCAAACGTCTACTTGTTCTTCCGAAGATGGCAGCTCAAATGATCACAAAACAAACAATTCTCATGGTGACGTTGATATGTCAAAGCCATTTTTCAATCCGGCAGGTGAGTTCAGATTACAGTAGGTTAGAAAAACCATTTGGTTAGAAAAATCCAATACTCCAGTTTTTCTAGATTCAAATAAGATTTCGTTTTTGATCAGCTCAAACTGTAATGAAAAATGAATCTTGTAAAGTTTCTGTTTACCGATAATTTTCTTGGCAATCTAGGGATGAAAATTCAAAAATTATTTTCCAAAAGTTGTGTAGATTATGATTTCAGAAAGTTCTATAGGGTTCCAGAAGGGTTTGAGGATCCTAGAAAACTCGAAAAAGCATCCAGAAGACTCTCTATAATTTTTTTTCGTTTTGCCAGGTCTCAATTGGTTTGTCACTGGTCTTTTCGTGGTTGGTGATCTTGCTGGAGGAGGTATTGTCGCTTTGCCCACCGCAATCATTCAAGCTGGTAAGTCAATTTTCAACCCAAATTTCTTCTCGTTCTAGTTCTCTTTATCTTAAACACACAAACACGTAATCACTCCAAGTGAAATAAAACAAATGGCGTAATCCCCTCTTCTAAAAAATGCGCCATCACCAGCACCAATTCGGTGATAGTGTTAGGAGAAGAGAGACAACCATCAATATCGGTTCCGGCTCCCTCTGAAAGCTCTCCTCACGTTTCAATTCTCTTATCGGAGAACAGAAAAAAGGACAGAAAACGAGATAGGGTAGGAGAAGAAGCACGTATCAGAGGGGACACATATCTTCTCAAAGAAAACGTGATAAGAGGTTTGGGAGAGAAAAACGAGCGTCGTCCTTTGATGACTTTTGTGCTCTAAACGTCAGGGGCAAAGTATCTGAATGCTCTCATAAACTATACTACTTGATGTCATAATCGAGGTGGATAAGCTTTTCAGAATTCTGGACTGGTCTGATAGTATGCATGATCCTTATTGGAGTCGTCACCTACACCGCCTATGTTCTTGGACTCAGTTGGAATATTCTCTTGAGCACATGGCCCGAATACAGACATCATTGCCGTAAACCATATCCAGAAATCGGAGGAAGAGCCATGGGACCGACTTGCCAGTACATATTTTCAAAAGAACTTCAATTTCAAATTCTTGGAATTTCAGACTGCTAGTTTCTATTTGTATTGATGTAACACAGTTTGGAATATCTGTCGTGTATCTTCTTCTGGCCTCGAAAAACATTCAGAATATGATCATTGTGAGTAGAAATGGTTTTTACTGATCAATATGAATTGATTTCAGGCATTCTCCTCTGGTGGAAATCTCTCTTTCTGTATCCTGGTTCTCATTGTTGCTGCATGCCTTCTCCCACTATGTTTCCTCAAATCTCCACAGGATTTTTGGTATGTTCCTAATCAGTGATTTAACCAATTTTCCGCAGTTTGAACATAAGAGGATTAGATGCTTCAACTTTTGAAAGTTTCATCATATAATCTCGTCACTTTTTAAGCTCATTCATCTACTTTTAATAGTTTTAAAAGATTTTCAGAGAAATCACACGAAGAAGAGTTTTAGAGAAATTGAATAAGTACATTATGTTGGAATGTGGTTAGACCACTTTTCAAATTTAATGATGGGTCATAAAAACTGCAAACAGTGAGTGAGCTGTGGTGGCGTAGGAAATTAGATGATCAGCAATTTTCGGTGACAACACAGAACGGAGAGTTCGAAGGGAATAGAAAAAAGGGAACAATTTCAGGTGGGCCGTTGTGATTGCTATGATGACTACATCTGCTGCTGTCATTCTCATTATCGTTGGATCCATCATTGACTATGGTACTTGCCACGAAGCAGCTCAACTACCTCCGTTTAAAACCACAAACTTGTTCCTTTCAATGGGAACTCTCCTTTTCTCGGTCGGTGGTCATTCAGCCTTTCCAACAATTCAACACGATATGAAACAGCCAAAGGAGTTCACTAGATCTGTCATTCTCGCTTTCACCAGTAAGAAAATATCAAGTTGCTTTTTAATCTGTTCATTTTTCCAGTTATGGCATTCATGTACGTTCCTGTCTGCATTATGGGATATTTGGTTTATGGAGACTCTCTTCGTGATTCCATCATTCCATCTATTCAAACTGTTTGGATTCAACAAGCCATCAACATTCTCATCACTATTCACTGTATTCTTACTCTCACAATTGTCTTCAATCCATTGATGCAAGAAGTTGAGGATATCTTCCATGTCCCACAGAAATTCGGTATCAAGCGTGTTTTCGTTCGTACTGGAATCATGATTGCTGTTGTCTTTGTTGCGGAATCTGTTCCAACGTTCGGACCACTTCTTGATTTGGTCGGTGGATCTACTCTTACGCTCACTTCTGTTATTCTTCCATGCCTTTTCTATATCTATTTGAATGCCTACAAAAGGAAAGAGGAGGCTACTGGAAAGCCGGGAACTGGACCAGTCGGATGGAGAGACGTTTTCACTTACAACGAGAAGCCAACTCTTACAATTTGCATTATTATTATCAGTAAGTGTTTGTTTTTTCTCTCGAGTACTTTTTCTTAAAATTTCTAATTTTTCAGTCATTGGACTTATTGGAGGAGGATGTGCTACTTTCTCTGCTATTGTTGAGTTGACGTCTACTCAGTTTGCTGTTCCTTGCTACGTGTCTGTATTCCAAGCTGTAAGTTCTTCTATACAAATTTCAGAAACAAAGTTCCCAATTTCTAAATTTCAGAAGAAAAACGAATCAGCGGCACAAACAAATTGTTGTGGACCATTCCAGAACTTGACAACGTATTCAGGCGCAACATGCAGTGATCCAAATTTGAAATTTTATCTCTAAATGTCATATTCCCAGTTGCATATGGCTTTAATTATCGATCTTTGACTTCTTTCTAAGATGGAAGAGCTCTGCAATTTAAATTTCTATCTAACTTCTTTGTTTTTCTTTGTACAAATTTCGATTCATTTTATTTGTATTCACACCGTTTACATGTATAGTTTTAAAACACATTTCTAGTCAGCCCCAGTGAAAAATAAGGTCAAACCGATGTCTTTTTCTCCCAATAAATTTGTTTTGATTGAAAATGGGTTTCATTTTTACGAGCATTCATAGAGATGAAGGTGCCTGAGAACCACGTGGATGCTCATCCAATTAAAATCGAGTTGCATACTGATGATGAATTAAAAGGATCAAAATTAAAAGAGAGTGAACAAAATATGGAAACAGAGAAGAAAGAAAAGAATAATAGTACTATCAGAATAGTTGGTTGTGAAGTTTGCAATGAAAAGGTTGATGTGAGTGAGAATCTATTTAGAAAAATCTGGGGGGGGGGGGCTCTATCGAACTACAAAATACCATATTTCATTCTTATGATAATTTGAGATTAAATTCAAGGGAAATTCCATTTTCTTTAGCTTAGTGTTAGAGTTAAAGCCTTCTATTTAGTCTTTTCTCTCTTCCCATTGATAATGTATCAGAATCATTTTGATCCGGGCAAACTGCACATTCTATTCCAAATTTGATGTCTGTCTTCTTCTGTTTACACGCTAATGATGACATAAATTCATAATTTTTTTTGATGACCAAATGATAAGAGATGAAAAAACTACACAAAGAAGCACGTGTGTTATACAAGCTATAACAAAAAGAAAAATGTCTGCCTTCCAGGTTAGAATCATCCTTCGTCAATGTGGGAACGTAGTTTGTCTCTCATGTCTTCTGGAGTATATAAAAGTTTGTAGATCTTGGAAACTACAGATATTGATATATTTCAAAATATAGAACCGAATCATTGTGGATGGTCATCCTAGATTCAAATGTCCAGTGTCTGCGTGTAACAGTGTGATTCATGAGAATGACATAAATGCAGTTCTAGACGAAAAAGAGCCAGCTCTTGAGAAGTACATGTCAATTGTACACAGAAGATATTTACAACACAAACAGTACAAACACTCAATTATGGCAGCACTACCTTCTTCTGATACCAAACGATGTCCATTGTGTCGATCTGTATACATGCACGAGCCGGGATGTAATTATGTGATTTGTGCAAACTCAGCATGTAACTCCGCTTTTTGCTGGCAATGCGAAAAACCTGTTGGAAGATCTTGTTCCCACTTTACCACAGGTTGAAAAAATGCGAGTTAAAAAATATCGAGATTACCAATTTTTAGCATCTACTTGCCGTCTTGGATACAAAGACTTTGAAAGAATTTTCCGATCAGTTCAGTTGGCACTCGATGTGAATTTTATAATTCTCTGGATCCTGCTCCCTTTTGTCTACCTCATCGCATTTCTCTACATTCCGATCTCAATAATATTTCTGGTGCCGGCCAGTTTAGCCTATGACGCCTACCGTAAAGAACGAGATAGCCACGACTTCCTAGTTCCTATTGATGTGATTACCATCATATTCCGGATTGTCATTGGAATTGTAATTGGAATTGTTGTGAGCATTCCATTCGCTATCGGATCAATCGTTTCTGGATTTTTTATTGTTTTCTTCTACATGGGATTTCTTTTTATTCGCACGGTTCCGTGTGGTTTGGTGAGAAACCTTTTTCAAAGAGTTTCATATTAACCTTTAAAAGTTTCAGTCTGGAGATCGTGTTGGTACAATTTTATGTTTCATGAGATGGGCTGGGAGAATATTCAAGTAAAGTTTCGGATTATGAAAAAATTTGAATACCGTAAAATCTGTTTCCAAAACTTCAACAAAAATTTGTTAAATGGAAAATTTTTCGCTCCAAAGCGCTGACGAAATTGATAAATTTTCATAGATTTTGATCAAGAATAGACCTAATTTTTAATGAGATTTCTGAAAAGAAGCACCAGAAAATTAGAACGCACGGTAACTGGTTTTCAGAATCGGTCCATATGGAAAGCTTTTGGAAGAAGCCAGACGAGAACGGAGAGATGCATTGGTAAAACTGGAGGCAAATCAAGATGACTTTGAAAATGCATTGAGTACGATAAAAACTAAAGTTTTCTTAATAAAATTATGTATTTAGGTGAATCGGATGGAACTTCCGGAGAAGTGGAATTATCGTCAGCACCTCAACAAGGAACTTCTTCAGACTTCACAACGAATTCGAAGACATATGAAAAAACTAGTAACACTGTGACAACAACTACAACAACAACAACAAAAACAACAACAACAAAAACAACAACAACAGAGCAGCCAACAACGATTCGAAAAACATAAATTCTTCCTTTTTAAATATTCTTGTAATAAAATGTTTCTTTTTTAAAGTCTGACATTTTTTTTAAAGTCTGTTCCAAGAAGAAGAAGAAAGAGATGTTTCAGGAAGAAGAAGAAGAGGTAGAGAAGAAAACTCACAAGGGAAGTGTTTTCAGAGAGGCGTTGAGAATTTGCTCAAAATTTCAGTACTGATAGTTTGAGATATCCCCAACACGATGACGAAAAAATCTAGGTCATAACCCCACCAGGAAGCTGAAAATCTTCGTCTGAAAATTCTGCCCGATTTGGGCGCGCACTTTCCCCCCTCTCCTATACGCCCTCCGCGCCAGAGGAAAATGTCGGTTGTGTGGTGTAGCGGTAAGAGGGTAACTCCACAGGTCCTGGGCGATGATGCGCATAAAGGACTCGATCCATATGCGATCCTCTGGAAGTCCGTTTGACACATATCGCGAACAACGAGCTGCGATGAATCTCATATGTGTGCGATGCGGGAGAGGCTGAATCGAGTGTTCCGAATGCGCGCGTATCCTAGATGGATTCTGGCTGGGTGGGCGATGTGTGCGATATGGGTCTGATACGGTAGGCCGACTACAACACTCCGAAATCCCGGATGCGCCCATTGTTTACCGTAAATCCACACCGGCAACTTTGTCAATTTTTCGTCAATTCGAGCCTACATTTCTGGTTTTTCGATTATTCCTTCGATGTTTTTTGTGAAAAAGAGTTATGGCAGAATAAAAAATCGCTGAATTCTTGCAGAAACGTGTCTTTCACTCGTTAATTGCTATGTTTTTCGCCAAAATAGGTGATATTAGATTTTTTGATTTCACTTTGTAATTATTGTAAAAATCGTATTTTCAGGTGGAGTAAGGTAAGTTGGTAAGTATACAATAATTACAAAGTTTAAATTATAAAAATTTTCAATTTTTCATGCAATTTCAAAAAAGTGAAAGTGAGACATTTTTTGAACAAATGAAAAAAAAATACAATTTTTAGCTAATTTTTTCCCATTTTCTTCTGTTTTTGATTGCATATCAAATTTAAATGGAAACTGCCATAAGTCTTTTTCAACACCAAAACATTGAGTTTCGAAAAATCAGTAATATGTCGTTCAAAATATAAAAAATATGGAATAATAAAGGAAAAGTACGAAATCGGAAGACCTGAACAAAATCACATCACAATAGAACTTAACTGATACTTCTAGGAACCCCCAACCAACGTTTTAGTTCATTTCATCGAGTGCCAGCAAGCCAGGCGAGGAGATGCTTTGCGGCGGCGGTGTGCCCCATATGCCCCGTATATGCCCCATACCGGCGTCCTTTCCCTGTACCCAATTCATCGGCGCGTCCTCCGTCGCCCATCCATTATGCGTATGCGCGCCCAGGACCTGTGTCATTAGGTGAGACTCCGCTGGTTCGAACCCCACTGTGGTTAACATTTTTTTTGTTTTTTTTTCATACTTCTATTTTCAATATTTCGAAGATATAGAGGGGGTTTTCAATATGCATCCTAACTTCTTTCTCTAGCTCCATCGAAATGAACTCCAAATTGCTCTTCCTATTTGCTTTGGTGGAGCCTTAAAATATCTATTTCAGAAAAAAAAAACAAGAAGTTTTTACCAAGAGTCTCGTACTCCCGACGTTTGCCCATATGGTGGCGGTTTCTGATGAATCGAAATTTAGTGTGAACTTGTTCCAAACTTGGACGGACTTTTGATCCATTATTGTTCAATCCCGTTTTTGATCCAAAATAAGCGACCGCTTCCTTGACTTTGTCTAACTAACCAAAAAAATGTTAACCACAGTGGGGTTCGAACCAGCGGAGTCTCACCTAATGAGTTACCCTCTTACCGCTACACCACACAACCGACATTTTCCTCTGGCGCGGAGGGCGTATAGGAGAGGGGGGAAAGTGCGCGCCCAAATCGGGCAGAATTTTCGGACGAAGATTTTCAGCTTCCTGGTGGGGTTATGACCTAGATTTTTTCGTCATCGTGTTGGGGATATCTCAAACTATCAGTACTGAAATTTTGAGCAAATTCTCAACGCCTCTTGAAAACACTTCCCTTGTGAGTTTTCTTCTCTACCTCTTCTTCTTCTTCCTGAAACATCTCTTTCTTCTTCTTCTTGGAACAACAGTAACCAAGTTTGGTCGTAAAATGCTATGCATCGCCGCAATATTACAGCCCACCCAGTGTATTCCTCTCGGAAAAGTTTTCACGAATATAAATACTTGAGATTATATGAAAACTGCTTTCTTTCGGTCTCATAATCCGCATCGAACCAGAAGTTTGTCTTGAAAGAATTTTTTGCGATGAAAAAATATTGTTTCAGTGTCAACTAAAAACAATTTTCCCGAGTTATCATTCGAAGTAGATAAAACATCAGCACGAGGATGGATCACATCTTTCGACCAGCCGGAGTTTCTTCAGGACGTCACGAGAGAAGCTACAATTGAATTATCGAGTGTTGCACATTGTGAGTTATCGACGAACTTGCTATAGTAATAGACGTGTATTTTAGTTTTCTAGGTGGTGGTGTTGATCAGCTATTGCACGATAGCTCTGATTTCGCATGGCGAACGAACATGAGCCCTCCTCATCAAGCGACAGTCACCTTTGCAAGGAAAACCGACGTTTCTTTTTTAATGCTCTATCTCGATTATAAAACAGACGAATCGTATTGCCCACAAGAGTGTGTATCGATTCAAACTAAACGAATTGGTGAATTTTTTTTCAGAGTCAGAGTGGACCTTGGATGGGGGACAAACGATTGGTGGCACAGAATCAATCGACGAGTGAACTACCCGAAAGGTTGGGTGGTGAGTAGAATTTAAAAGTTTTCTCATAAAATTGTGAATTCTGCAGAAAATTCGGCTGGTGGATAGATTGGATGCTCCACGAAGAGTAATGGCACTTCGAATGACAGTCATGAAAAACCATGAAAAAGGAAGAGATTGTGTTATTCGGTGAGAGTAGAAAAATGATGCTTCATAAAAAAACTGTTTTTTCAGCCATTTCCGAATTATTGGCCCCCAATATCATCGTCATGACAGTATAAATCGACTGATTCTCGGACCGACAGGAGGATTGGGAGGAGTTACACAAGAACGCCAGGCACGGAGTCATATCATGAACGATCATCTAACCGTTCGTTAAAAAAATATTTGTCTGTATACTCGTATTCATGAAGTTAAAATAAAATGAACCAATTTGCCAGTCACTTCACCTTCTCGCTTACACAAAATTAAATCGCACTGCTGTAATTGTTCCTGATTAATTCACTCAAAACCTTTTTTTTTCACATACTGCTTATCTCTTTCTGTTCTTTTCTTCTCCCCTCCCCTCTTTTTGTTTTCATTCACACTGCGCGCTGCAACACCATGTCAGTGTAATATTTAGTCGGTTTTTTACGGAATAGCATATGAGAAATAGAGACGCAGACACTTCAGCACTTGGTATAAAAGAGGAAGTCGTGGCTTTGAAATCACTTGGCTTCTGAAGTCCAGTGACAGGTAAGGTGTCTATTCACTTCCGCTTAGGTCAATAGAATCTGAACTTTTAGAAAAATGTCTGAGGATCCAAAGCAGATCGCACAGGAGACGGAGTCTCTCCGCAAGGTTGCATTCTTCGGAATCGCAGTTTCCACCATTGCTACATTGACAGCCATTATTGCTGTTCCAATGCTCTACAACTACATGCAACACGTGCAATCTTCCCTCCAATCCGAAGTCGAATTCTGTCAACACAGATCCAACGGACTTTGGGATGAGTACAAGAGAGTATGTAGATATATTCAGAAGATTCTCAGATTCACAAAGTTTCTATTTTCAGTTCCAAGGAGTTTCTGGAGTCGAAGGACGTATCAAGAGAGATGCCTACCACCGTAGCCTCGGAGTTTCTGGAGCTTCCCGCAAGGCCCGTCGTCAATCCTACGGAAATGACGCCGCTGTTGGAGGATTCGGAGGATCTGCCGGAGGATCGTGCTGCTCTTGCGGAGTTGGAGCTGCTGGACCAGCTGGAGCTCCAGGACAAGACGGAGCCCCAGGAAACGATGGAGCTCCAGGACAAGACGGTGCCCCAGGACAAGATGCCTCTGAGGACTCTGTTGCCGGACCAGACAGCTTCTGCTTCGACTGCCCAGCCGGACCACCAGGACCAGCCGGAGCCCCAGGACAAAAGGGACCATCAGGAGCCCCAGGAGCCCCAGGACAATCCGGAGGAGCTGCTCTTCCAGGACCACCAGGACCAGCTGGACCACCAGGACCAGCCGGACAACCAGGATCCAACGGAAACGCCGGAGCCCCAGGAGCCCCAGGACAAGTTGTCGATGTTCCAGGAACCCCAGGACCAGCTGGACCACCAGGACCACCAGGACCAGCTGGAGCTCCAGGACAACCAGGACAAGCCGGAAGCTCTCAACCAGGACAGCCAGGACCACAGGGAGATGCTGGAGCACCAGGAGCCCCAGGAGCTCCAGGACAAGCTGGAGCCCCAGGAGAGGATGGAGCCTCAGGAGCCGAAGGAGCTTGCGACCACTGCCCACCACCACGTACCGCTCCAGGATATTAAGCGACACATCGACATCTCTTTGGTTAATCTCTGCTTTATTATCTCATTTGTATTGTACTGTCTCCCAAAAACCGTAGTTCCAATGAACAAAACGTAGCATCATAAAATAAATCATTTCCATTTGAAAATTGAATGAAAAAAGAAAGCAATTATGAACGATGAAATGCAGGAAAGGGAGGGTTGACAGTTGATTGGCTTCTTCGAAAGAAAAAAGCCAATGAAGATAGAGAAAGGACAAGGTCGCATCGGTAATTGAAATTCTGAGATTCGGAAACTTCACTTTTCCTTTTTTCTTCTGAATCAACGGTAAAACCTAAAACACATAAAATTGGGTGTGGGTAGTGGTGAAAAGAAAAGACGGCGTCTGGTTACCGGTATAATTCGAATATTTGTCAGTCATCTGAAATGGTTTACATGTTTCCCTTTCTTTTTTTCTGACAGGTGACTGTCTCTATCAGTTTTCAGTTACTATTCAGAGAAGACGCCAGAAACTGATCGTAATGCGGAAGAAGAGACAGCGTCGTTGGAATTCAAGAAGTGTTGTTACAGCAAATAGATACGCAGTAAACAGTTGTGAGATAGCCGTTTGAATAACCGAATAATGTGGGAACAAAGAAAGCTTGAAGGTCATTAGAAACAAGGGGTCAGTCGAAAAGAAATGAGAGCTTCTTCAGCCTTGATGAGTGGTCTTTAATTAGAGAACAATGAATTCAAGAAACGGAAGTAGACAATGTGAACACGAAGAAACTGGTTTTTAGTACTGCGGGTTAAGCTGTGAACGGTGGAATCAGATAATGAAAAATCTAAAAAAATATGTGTACACAAAAAGTGTCAGATCAGAAGCATTAACGATCCGAATAAGAATTTCAATGATTTCAAAATGTGTACAAAATGGTGTTTTCAGTTTTTGAGTTTTGATCTCAAAATGAAAAAAAAAGATGTAGATTGAATATGTACATCTGTGCTTTGAAACAAGGACTTTGAGCCTACCGTATTTCCGCAAATAGATACCCATCCAAATTTTCAACTTGTAGCTCAATTATATCGGTTCCAGTAAAATATATGAAAAATTCGATGGACAACATGTTTTTGATATTATGATAAACATTATGTCAGTTGACCAATTTTTGATATCTTTTGTAGGATTCGAGATAATTAAGCTGAAAGGTGACGGTTTCGTTGAGCTTCTATTAGAGGAAATAGGTATTTCCATATTACAAAAAACAAGAAATTCGTCTGAAAATATTATTTCCAAATCGAAGAAAGAAAAATATGGAAAACTTGAAAATCGAGGAAATTCCAACTGTAATCATCGGATCACATGCTGTCATAACAATGACTAACTATTGAAATTACAGATGAACGTACAGTTTTCCCATTTTTTGTTGTGAGAGCTATAGTAATCACCGGGTACCAACATAAACAGGCTGCGGTTAAAACTTCCTTCACTTTATCATCAAGAAAATCTTAATTTAGAGTCCTTCCGAGTAGACCAAATCAGGTAACCTAAAAAATTGACGGAAACATTAGTTTCAATGTTCAAACCTTCTAAAATTAACCTTGTTACTATAACAAAAAGCATTGTGTATTTTATGCTCTGAAATCATTATTCGATTTTTCTAGGTTATTAAATTATCAACTTTTTAAGTTGTCTAATTATTTTCCTGTCGATTTCGTACTTATTTTAGGTTTCAAGATAAATCGACACAAATGCTTTCTTCTTTTTCCGAAGAATGTATAACTGAATACTTAAAGAAGTCTGAACTATATCAGCAATTACACAATTCCTAACTTTTCTCTTCTTGACATTGTTTGACTTCAACCACTAATTCTTCGCACTTCATTTCCTTGTCTCACTATCACAACATCATCACAACTATCACTACGGATAAGTGTTCTCACTATTGTAAACCCGCACAAGGTTTATCGTATTTCTCCGCCTCCAACCCCTACCTAGCCATTGTAATGTTGAAGGTATCGTGGCAGACGCGCAGTATAAAAAGAAGAAGAACGGCAGCAGACAAGCACTTCATTTCTTGCCTTCTTTCCTTTTTTGCTATTTCAGTTTAAACATTTATTGAGAAAAAAATTACAGATGTCTGAGGATCCAAAGCAGATCGCACAGGAGACGGAGTCTCTCCGCAAGGTTGCATTCTTCGGAATCGCAGTTTCCACCATTGCTACATTGACAGCCATTATTGCTGTTCCAATGCTCTACAACTACATGCAACACGTGCAATCTTCCCTCCAATCCGAAGTCGAATTCTGTCAACACAGATCCAACGGACTTTGGGATGAGTACAAGAGAGTATGTAGATATATTCAGAAGATTCTCAGATTCACAAAGTTTCTATTTTCAGTTCCAAGGAGTTTCTGGAGTCGAAGGACGTATCAAGAGAGATGCCTACCACCGTAGCCTCGGAGTTTCTGGAGCTTCCCGCAAGGCCCGTCGTCAATCCTACGGAAATGACGCCGCTGTCGGAGGATTCGGAGGATCTGCCGGAGGATCGTGCTGCTCTTGCGGAGTTGGAGCTGCTGGACCAGCTGGAGCTCCAGGACAAGACGGAGCCCCAGGAAACGATGGAGCTCCAGGACAAGACGGTGCCCCAGGACAAGATGCCTCTGAGGACTCTGTTGCCGGACCAGACAGCTTCTGCTTCGACTGCCCAGCCGGACCACCAGGACCAGCCGGAGCCCCAGGACAAAAGGGACCATCAGGAGCCCCAGGAGCCCCAGGACAATCCGGAGGAGCTGCTCTTCCAGGACCACCAGGACCAGCTGGACCACCAGGACCAGCCGGACAACCAGGATCCAACGGAAACGCCGGAGCCCCAGGAGCCCCAGGACAAGTTGTCGATGTTCCAGGAACCCCAGGACCAGCTGGACCACCAGGACC